ATTGTTGGCATCTGTCCAGAGTTGTTATTATTACTGTGTGAAATGGACATTCTCTCTACAAGTGGTTCAGTTCATAGTATTGTTATGTTGGTTAAAAAAACACCTTAAAAGAGATACTGAATGTCTGTAAAGTTGCATATGCGAGGTATTAGTAAAAATCATGTTCGTACACTGTGCTCTTCTATTTACTGTAATAATGTATTTGGCTGTGTGTGTTACAAGGCAGGTAAAGGCTTGTAAGTGCTTGTGTAAGTGCAGTAGGTGCAATGGCATGACATTCGGAAAACTAGCTGGTTTGTACAAGTTACAAGGTTTTCCTTGTGTGAGAGGGAGAGCCTAGTTTATTGGGCTTCTGAAATGATCATGGGTTTCAAAATGGACATTTTATGGCTTATAGATTGTTTGGACTCCAACCCACAAGTTTTGTCAATCATTATCAATGATAGAGGAAGAAACTAATATAAAAGGATCCTTGTTGAATTTTAGCAAAACAAAGGTCACGATGATAGCATCAGCAGAATTGTTTGTTTTGCTAAAATAAATCATATTGATTTAACTTAGGCCACATCCACACAAATACATATTAGTTTTAAAACACATCACTAAGTGTTTGCCTGGTGTCCAGAATACTCCAAGATCCTAAAATGGAGACTTTTTTGGAAATGCTACTTTTAGTTAAAGAATCTGGGGTTGCATTTTAGTCTGGACAGGCAAAAACAATGACACAAACACCCTCCTTGCCTACTGATTGGGTCTTATCAGTCACGACTACAAGCAGTGAATGCAACATGGATAACAAATCCTGACCTCATTGCCTTTGCTAGCAGCTGTTAAATTCTGCTCACTCATTCTGTTTTCCTTTTAAAATGAAAATGTGTTAGTGTGGATGCAGCCTTAGTTCCAGTCCCCTCCACCACCCCCTACCATCCCCAATGGTTCTATGCTGCCCCAGGGGGCTTGCCGCCCCCCCCCCCCCCGCGTTTGAAAATCACTGGTTTAGACTGACCTGACTTCAATGACCTCTGTGACCTGCTGATCTCTCTGTTAGAAATAACCCTCAACTGGGTTAGGCCTGACACTATAACTATTTCTTAGTGCTTCATCAACAAACCCCATGCTAATGCAGGGAGGCTCCTTGTGAACTTAAAAACAACAAAAACAATAGAGGATTTGCTTAAATCTACAAGAATAACTAGCTTGCCCCATTCTGTACTTAAAAATCTTGTACTTGATGAGGACATTGTCATCCTTTAAGAGTTAAAGCCAGATTATGCTGCATGTCCTTCCTTCTGAAGCTCATCCCTTGGTTTCCCTCATTATTTTTATCAAGCAGCACATTTACATACAGTATGTAGTTTGATCTAATCACTGTAGACTTGTGGAGTGTGGAGGAAGCTTTTGTTACAGTTAGGTTTTCAGGTACTGACAGGGTCCAGTATTTTAAATACATGGTATGCAGCATGATTACAGAGTTTTTCATCCTTTATTTAAGAGTAACATAAATCATTGTACTGAAATGTGCCCATTCATTTGCGTTTGCACATGCCTTAATCTCTGAGAAAATCCTGCAGACGAGAGAGAGCAGTTCAAAAGCTAAAGATGATGAAGCCCATTAACACTCATCAGTCTTCTACAGTTCTATTGACTGCCTTGCAGTGCTCCACAAAAGATGATAACAGTGGCTACTGGTGAAAGCCTATTGTCCAATACTGCACCCTAAGGCCTTTTTTGTCCCCTGCTGCTTCCCAGCCTGGGGTCATCAATTTATCACCTTTACCACCTCCATTAGCACCATCTCCTCCTCAGAGGGCCTTTAGTTGCACTGAAGCAGTTCAGTGAACAACTGCTCAGGTCATGGTGTCAAATGGCATCCTGAAATGTGGGTGTGTAGGTTTTGTTTCTGTGTGTGAGATCAAAAGTATAGATGTGTTTGAGGACGAAATATCAGTACTACCTTAATGCACAAACTGTGTGCATGTTGTATCCTATTAAACAAACCTTCAGCTTGTGTTTGAGACATTAAACCAGACTGTTTGTCATGGCTGGATACTAGGTAATCACAGCATATGCTCCTCCTTCTCTGCAATGAGCTAATATCAGCTGATTTATCATTGCAACTCTAATTTTAATCAAAGTAGTTGTTGTGCTTTTGTGTGTTAACAGGAGATTCAGTGCGGAGGATTCCTTTCAAAGGATGTTTGTTCTTCAGTCTCCTTGTGAAAGATTTAGAAATAACTAACAACATGGGGCTGAAATGGTTAATTGATAAATTGATAAGTCAACATTCATTCATTCATCAACTGAAAATTAATTGGCAAGTGTTTTGATAATACAGTTGATTAAGTCAATTTTTAAGCAAAAATGGCAAACAGTCTGTTGTTAATTTAGCTCCTGAGATGTGTCTTTGTCTTACATCATAGTTCAATATATTTTGGTTTTGTGCTCTTGGAGAGACAAAACAAGTCATTTGAAGATGTCAGTTTGGCTTTTGGGAAACTGGATTTTCTGACATTCTGTAGACCAAACCATACATTGATTATTTAATTCTTTATTTAATAATCAGCAAATTAATCAATAATGAAAGTAATAGGTAGTTGTAGCCCTATAGCAAATGATTTTGTGATTTGAGAATGATAGAATTTGAGAAGGCCAGCCCCATTATCTACACAGGTTTCACATCAATAGCTGTGTAGTAGATCTATAGGAACCAGGTGGTAAGTCCATGTTCCACTTAGCAATTCTTGAGCACACACAGCAAATCTGCCCCCATCTGAATTCAATAACACACCCTTTGGTATTACATGACTTAGTCCTGGGAGTGTCTTTGTTTGTGGGTGTTGACTTTGTTTCTGTGTGTGTGTGTGTGTGTGTGTGTGTGTGTGTGTGTGTGTGTGTGTGTGTGTGTGTGAGTGTGTGTGTGAGTGAGAGTGTGAGTGAATAGGCGCTCGCACATTTGAGTGTTTGCATTTAATCTTGTGTTGCCAGCTTAGAGCGCCGTTTCTCCCCGGAGATTAGAGGATGTTAGAGGCACTGCTGTGGAAATACTCTCTTTCAATCTCTAAACAGACACAGAGGCAAGACAAAGTGGCTGTTTGCAATGTTGGTGTGTTTGTTTATGTCAAGCAAGTGGTAAGGCACTGCAATAGACCATGGCTAATATGATTTTATAAATGCTCAGACCCAGGATTAAATAATGAGCCATATGGTCATTAGTGTTGATGATGGTATTATTAATGTTCTTTATTGTGGGGGTGTTTTAAATTTTCTCATGTTTGCGCCTTGTTACTGAGAAAAATCACTGCACATCATGTAATTCCATTTAATGAGTCAGACAGATAAGATTCACGGATAAAGCACACACAAAGTCTTTCATTTACTATAACAGATTTAATTTATATATGATAGCCCAAAGGGAATTTAAGTGTTTAGACTTAGTACTTAAAAAAGTTCCACTGAAGCAAAGCCCAGATTCTTGCAGAACCACTTATCAGCCAGATCAGTACTAATAAAATTGGGCTGTCACTATCTTATGCTCTCCACAGAACCTTGGTCAGTCATACTTAAAGTAAAGTCAGCCTCCTGCTGTTGTGTCTCAGTTTGCACAGGTGTCACAATGTTGTGTCAGAGTGTGGAGTTAGATTCTCTGCTCTTGCCAGATTGCAGCTCCAAATGTGTGTGTCTGTATATTGACATGTGTGTTTGTGTGTGTGTGTGTGTGTGTGTGTGTGTGTGTGTGTGTGTGGACAGTGTTTAGAGCTGCAGGAGTGCAGCACCAATTCAGATAATTTACTCTTTCACTGCGATGAAACACACAGGCACACACACACACACACACACACACACACACAGGCACACACACACACACACACACACACACACACAGGCACACACACACACACACACACACACACACACATAATAAGCTGGCGTGACATTGCAACATCATAGATGGAGCATGGGAAGGTGGATCAAAGCACAATTAACTTCAGGTCTTCTGCTCATCCTGTCTTTATTGGCTGGCTTAGAGCCTCAAGTCTGTCATTAGAGCCAAGTAAACAAGCTTTGCTAAAGAACCAGTCTCACCACCGGAGAGATAGACCAATGTTCGTGCGAGATGAACACTGTCTAATGACCAGAAGATATTCTAGGGTAATTAGATCTATATGAAGCCCCTTGTGACATTTTAATCCACTGTAGGCACTTGAGATATTCTCTGTACTTCACAGCATGGCTGTCTCTACCTAACTTGTCATGTTGATACAGTGCTTCTCCCTTGCCTGTGTAAAATGCAGCCTAGTTTCAAGTAACAATACCTCTGAGCTTTAATTATCAGCTCAGCCTGTCAACTTGACAGTTTCCCTGTGAAAAGTTGTTTGACCCAGTGGCAGCTGCCTGCAAAGGAGACCAGCAGACATTTTGTGTCAGTGTAATGATAGAACTGCACAATATCCCAGCAGCCCTACATTGATGTAATACTAAAAATTTTAGAGTCACTGGAAAACTATCAAGGTTCTCTATTAAACTTTGATGGGGCCAGCCACAACAAACACACTATTAGTGATTGTAAATACTTGGTTTATTTGACGTAATATTGGTACATAATTCTTCAAAAACCTAGACCACGTGTGCGACAAATTGTCCTTGTTTCCCCAGCAGGCCTTTAATACATGGAAATCCCTGCATAAATTGAAAACAAAGATGCTACATATCCTGTCTAGAGGCAGTCTCAACTCCGTTAAGGTTACTTACATACCTTATAATGAGCTTGTTACCTTACATTATTAAAATATGGTTCAGATTCCCAATTTGCCTGCTGGCCTGCAGCTGGTAGTTCCTTACATAAGCAGCCAATGATCATGAGACCTGCCTAGAGCCAGAGGAAGAAGCTTCATATCTTACTTTTGTCCTATTCAGGAAGCAAAACCTGGAGTGATTCTATCATTTAGGCCTTAAAGCAACCAACTAATTCTGACTATCTTCACTTGTTTCTGTGTCTTCAGGTTGTGCGCGGCCTCCCGGCGTGCAGCACGGAGACCTGCTGAACCAGACCGAAGCTAACCGGGGATCTTTTGCCCCGGGCACCCTACTGACCTACGGCTGTGAGCCAGGCTACACTGCAGATGGACCCACCACCATCATTTGCACCAGTTCCGGAGCCTGGTCCCATCAACCACCACGCTGCATCAGAAGTAACGGTGACCGAAATTCAAAAATACATGGACACAACAATCACAATACGAGCAACATAACTGAGCATTCCCTGAAAGCTTCTTTTACTTTTTAAAATGGTCATTCTTGGCTTATTATGCTTATATGCAAGTCTAATTTGTCTGTGTCTGAGAAGAAATAACTCCAGCCTATAGAGATCCCTTACTGCCACCCCATGTATAAGTACATGGGGTGGCAGTTGTAATAAGGGGATAAGGAATTTCCTAAAAAGTCAGCTTTATGGACTTTTGAGGTTGAGCATGCGCTCTAACAGACATGACTGCATTGAAACTGAAATATAACATCAGTTCCATAGCACGCAATATCATAACACAAACAGTGAGGTTGTCCTTGAGAGCCAGCAGGGAACACTGGGAAATTTCAGCTAAATCTGAGCATTTATTAAGCCACAGGAATCAACCCCTGACCACAGGTAGAAATTACAGCCAAACACATTTTCTGTACACAACAACAGCCGTGATTGTTAAAAATCTCTATTGCCTCCTTATCTTCCCAGTGTGTGCACCCCCCACTGAACCAGAGAACGGGGGCTACCGCTGTCACCCATCTCCCTGCCACCGCCTCACCCAGAAGACCGTCATCGAGTACTTCTGTGACGAGGGCTACGCTCTGAAGGGAGACTACAAGTTCCTCACCTGCCAGAACGGCGAGTGGGACGGTCCCATGCAGATTAGCTGCCGACTAACGCAAGGTCCTTCACCTCAGCCTCCGTGTACCTTGTCTTTGTTTGTAGTCAAACATGGCCTCATGCAGGAAATGTAGTACCAGAATCAGTGAACCACATTCTCACGTCCTCTCTCTCTCTCTCTCTCTCTCTCTCTCTCCTTGATCAGCTCAGACAAAGAGCCAACTTCTCCGCTGGGTATACCGGCTCTGTCTATTGTGGCATCCACAGCAAGTTCTGTGGCACTCATCCTGCTTTTAGTGGTGCTATTTGTTCTTGTCCAGCCAAAACTCAAGTCCTTCCATCACAGCAGGTAAGATACACACAAATTGCTACATTCTTACCCTAAATAAATACCAAATCCCTCAACTTCACCATATCTGTATTGCAACGCCAGACTCAAATTTTGTTTCAAATTAATTGATCAAAACCTGTCTCATGCCAGTGGTTATTAGTGGCAGATTTTTATGAAAACTGAAGACAGATTCCAGCTTCTTACATCCCAGATCTTACTTTGGTTGTTCTGGCTCATCATTTCAGTTTCACATTTTTTATAGTTATAATAATCACACACTAACTCCACTCAGCATATCTTTACACAATCATGTGCTGACTGTATGTCTGCAATAGATTTGAAGCTTAAAAAACACACACACATACACACTTTCAGCTGCAGTATTATGCATGGTAGTCAAGCTGTTAAATGACTAGTCTGGACTATTGCATTGTTGAATCATCTCTTCCCTGAGATGAACAACAAAAGTATTGTTGATATCCTGCCTGCTAAACACCTCTGATCCTCTGATTTTGTCTCTTGTTTGCATTAATAGACTCCATCGTAAAGTTGTTCCTGACACGTCTCCAGATCACATGAGTGAAATAGTTTATTCGTTTTTGGGTCAGACCCTTCAGCCTCCACGTTGTTCTGAGTGTACTTAGTTTTCTATTTGACTTTAATGAAAAACTTGAACATGTTGAAAAGAACTTTTTTTTTTTATCAGCCTTCTATCTCCACAAACAACCTCCCTGTTGCCAGAGAGTCTTAAAAAGTTTTAGCTTTGTTTGCTCTTGAAGAACACTGCCCTTTTTATATTTGCTGCTGTAAAACTACCTCCCACTATGTTACAAATGAACACAGATGATGTTACTCGTCATTCTTTCCGTGGACACACCTATCATCCAGGAGTTTTGGTTGAAACAACTATGTTAAGTTGTCCACATAAGATTGCAACTAGTTTTACAAGTTGGCATTTGTTAAATACCTGAGAAATGAAAGTAAAACTATGAAACAGAAGTTAATCTCATCACAGTCACTAACCACCTCTGCTGTGGCTCTGTGATAGAAAGGCCAGAACAATTTGATCTAATGCTCATTGGCACTCTCGTTGATTGTGTAGTGGGCCTGAGGGCTTAGTGCAGCCTGCTATAAAGGGATTGTACAGTCAACACTAATCACCTCCACTCAGAGGTTCTGCTGTGGCACGCAACACACATGACTGCATCATGCCTTTCACCCTCTGCCTGGTGTCATGATCCACCTTGTCCACATTTGTCTTTCTATCGGCCTCACTCTGTCTTTGTCTCCGTGCATCAGGAGGGAGCAGGGAGTCTCAGGACAGGCCAGTTCCATCATGGTGGAGGGTGTCCAGGTGACACTTCCCTCCTATGAAGAGGCTGTATACGGAAGCAGCGGACCCTGCGGTGCTTCTGGTCCTCCTCCTTCTCCACCACCTCCTCCTGCTCCTCCAGAGTCTCGAGTCCCCATCGTGCTCTCTGAGGGGCTTCCTCAGGGGGCCACGGGAGGCCAAGGCCCCAGAAGAACCCGCCACCACAGAGACTTAGACTTCTGTCTCCCATCCACCTCCTCCTCATCATCCTTCTCCTCCCGCCGTCATGCAGAGACGGTGCTGGTACATCAGGCCCCCTCTTCCTCCTCCTCCTCCTCTTCATCATCATGGGCTAGAGAGCACCCTGGGGGTGCATGTGCAGGCCCCCTACCTCTCCGTAGAGACTCTGAGAGCAGTGACCAGAACAGTCTGCTTTCTGTTACCTCTACGGATGAATTTTCTGATGGTAAGAGGGAACAGTTTGTGTTACACACACACACACACAAGGAGAACCCAACTGATCCAGATATTATTATTTCAGGTATAAATTCTCAACCGTGATATATGAGCTGATATTCATTCTTCTTTACCCATAAGCATACACCATTTTTGGCAGGAATCCCTTAATTTGTTGTTTTAAAGAATTATAACCAACGGATGTACTAAGCAGAACAGTTAACAGTTGAAAAATAAACTTTGGTGGACAAGTAATGTAATTGTTAAACACATCTTCGGTATGCCAGCACTGTAAAGTCATGTTACCTACCTTGCCCACCTACATGCTTTTAGCAAGTAACAAACACACAAAGTCATTCAAACTCTTTCCTCGGTTGCCAAGGACTAGTGAAGACAAAAAACTCCTGTCAGGAGTAATTTTATTGGCCAACAAAATCAATACTTTTTAATAGACATGTCACCCCATTTTCAGTGTTATTTATTGTATAGACTCAGGTACTGCTCAAGATGTTCAGTAAAGACAAACGCAGTTTTAATTAAAAACACTCTCTGTATCGGATAAAGTTTGTAATTAACCATAAACTTACTCACCACATTCACATAATTGAATAATTTCAGCTAAACATTGAAACTTTCCATGCATGTAGTGGTAAAACAGTGGGAAATGTTTAGACAATAGCATTACGAGTTGTCAATAAGGAGCCTGTCTAATACAGGACTGTGGCTTTTTTATTGGCACTTTTGACATAATTTGAGAATAGACAAAACCACTGACTGCAAATGACTAAAACATTTAAAATCAATTTACGCTGAAATGTTTCTGGTGATGGAATGGAATGGATTGCTGTTTGAGAAGTATGAATACCGTGACTGTGTGGTGGGTAGAGCACTGGCTGCAGCTCTATAGCCTCTGCTCTATTCTAACGTCTGTTCTGTTTCCCTGCAGATATTCCCCTGCTGAAGGAAGCATGAAGCTTGCCAGCCTGCTATCAGCATCGGCAGCAGAGCCCCTCTTTCAGTATCTGTCACTGCTGACCAGGACTGACTGTGGCTGTCAACCTACTTCCCCCGACTCCCCTCAGCAGCCAGCAGAGAAAATACTAGAACTATGCCCATTCCCTATTGCAACCTCTTCTACCATTGCTACCCATGCAGAGCAAAGCCAACAACCAACACTCACTGCATCATAAGCAGTGATGGAGCACCACTGGACCCAGCTACTGGATCAGACTAAAGACAAGTCAGACAAATAAAGTGGGGCCAGCTCAACATAAATCCTGTAGATCCTATGTATATGAGTAAAACATGCATACTGAGTCAAGGTTGTGTACTATAGGCTATGTACTACCATACACTTGCCTCCTCCCAGGTGTAGTTCTCTATATTAACATTGCTCGCAATCGAGACACGTCGACTCTGTCTGGGATTACTGTGGATAAAAAAAAAAAAAAATAACGTGATGTTCGCTCCTGATGCTGTGGAGCTCAGAATCAGAACCGTGTTCCCGCTGTACTTGAAAAGTTGTGAGTGACGGGCTGGGTTTTTATGGCCCTCTTTGTGAATGCTGCATGTTGTTTTTAGTTATTGCTGTCACAGCACAGTCCGAATGAAGCATGAAGCCTCCTCCGTCTCTCTCTAGCTGTCTAGCTATCTGTGTATCCGGTTGGCGTCTAGCATATGGATTAGTGGGATTGCGAACCACTTCACAAGAGCTAAAAGCAGGGTGCAGCATTTTACGAAGCACCATATCACAGCTATAAAAATACCTGCTCCTTTCTTTTCTGTTGCCAGCTGCACTCAGTATCTGGAAGGTGCTGCTTCTGTCGCATGAGTGGGATTGATTGGTGTTTTGGTTCCAGGACTGTGCTACACATCTTACTTGTATAAGGAAAGGGAGACATGATGTCACATTCTGTCTGAAAGCTGAGGAAAGGGTTGTCTTTGAACATGGTGACTGGGCACACTTACAGGTTGTTTGTGTTTAATTTTCTTCCCACTTATTTATTGTTTGGTGTGTGGCTCAGTTTGCTCTGAGTTGTTGAATCTGAGTCCATGTGTGTGTGAGTGTGAGTGTGAGTGTGTGTGTGTGTGTGTCTGTGTGTGTATCTTTGTGTGTCAGCTAGGCAGGAGAGGATATGTCCTCATATGGTAGGCCTCGATACAGCCATTTCCTGATTTGCCTCTCTTCAGATCAGAGGCTGGCTTCACAATGTCCCCTGTCTTTCACCATAGGAAAATATCCCTCCCAGCGTTGAATTAGTCACATGAACAAACCAGCGTCACTTCAGGCAATGAGTCCACTACACAATGTGTGTATTATTCATGCACTCTCAAGCTAGAATATTTATAATTTTCTGCTGAATGGCTGGAAAACACAAGTCTCCTTAGAGGAACTGGCTCTCGCCCACCTTCACACTGAACTGAAGACTCTCCACTTTTGTGCATTATTGACACAACTGCAACTGGTTGCAGTGAAATGATAAAGTTTTTGTTATATAGCACCCCACCCCCGCCACATACACTCACTCATCCCTCTAATGCCAAGTGCAAAGTTAAGAGAGAATCATGTTATTTTGTTAGAAGTCATCCTCTGTTTTCATTGCCACTTGGAAAGCTTTGGTGGTTGAGCTGGTCACCGTGGAAACAGCATGACTCAGATGGATCCTGAGAATCACTTTTCAAGCTTAACGGCTAAGAAAAAACACAACACGACGACCTGAATTTCTGTTGTCAATTTTATTTGGCATTCGTGGCTGTGTGTCATTGTCAACGGCTACATTATTAATGCAAACAGAATGTTGCCTTAGACTTGTACATTTTCTTTTTCTTTTTTTTTTTTTTGATGTATAATCTTAAGCCTCCGCGTTGGTTGCTTTACGATATTGCAACATGTTCTTTTTTCCCAATGGCCTTACTCTGTTCTTTTCTATTCTATGCATAAACTGTCTTTGTGTATTTATCAATGAATTTACTTCTGTTGTGGTGTGGACACGACTAAACGAATGTCCATCCCTCTCTGTCCTCCCCTAGCTTTTCCAGCTACTGTGATGATGATGATGATGATGATGATGATGATGATGAACCTATAAGTACCTATATTTCACTATTCCTTTGCTTCTCTTTTGCTACAAGGCATTAAAAAATGATGGGATTGAAAAGAAAAAAACTGAAATTAACTTTGCGTTCAGAAGCACTGTTGTACAGTGTTGCTTCCCTGAAAATAACAGGTTAAAAAAGTACACATCCTGATTCTTAGTTTCAATGCTTTCAGCTTTGGTTTTCCCTCTGTACATGGCAATGGGTGTGAAGATAGTAATTTAATATTTGTATAAAGTTTAATTTAATTTTACAGTGTGTATATAACTTTCTAATTAAAGCTTTCTTTTGAATGTGGAAGATGATGTGTCGTTTATTTAAGTTCATGTCAGACTGTCCTCCGTGTTGCTGTGTTATTCTTACTGATTTAAAGTAAGTACATATTTTCAGACTGAAAGTTAGGTCTGTGTCTAATGTACAAGGACATTTCCAGTAACCATCAACTATGACAATGTGTATCCACTTGCGTCCGTCAAAAGAATGTGATTCATTTTCCTTTGGATTAGATCCTGGAAGATCTGAAGCATGGAAATGCTCCTCCTGGTCAAGATCAGCTTGAATGATTACACTTGCCTATGTCTGAGCACTGTGTAACCAGTGATCAACATAATATTTTTAAAGCTATTTCTAGTGTGTCTAAAGTTATAAAGTAGACCATAAGTCACATAACAGTAACTTTTGGTACCTGCTTTGAGATCACTGTAAAACCCTACAATAAAATACAACATCAGTTCAAAATGAAGTTAAACATTTACCAATCTAAAGTGGAACTACATGTAGTTCTGGGCAAAGGTCGCCTTAGTGTTGTATCATTTGTAAGTGGTTCATAACTGCTTCTTGAGTTATGCTGCTGTGGTTAGAGTTAAGCGCCCTGTAAAGCTGTAGTATCTTTAAAACCGCCCCTTAAACCCACTTTTGTAGGTTTGAATTGTGTAAAAATGACTCTTTCTGGTTGAAATGTGCTTTATTATTATGTCCTTTGTCCTGCTGTTATACTATTTTCGCTGCTGAGCCTCACAAAGCGACAGCTGCTGTACAAAATAATCTGGTATTCCTCTTTGTAACGGTATAACTGTGTATGAGGGACACCTAGTGGTCAGACCTAGAAACTGCACTAGTAGGCGGTTCAGTGACGTCATGTTCGGAGACCCAATCGCCGCACTTCGTTTTTTTTCGTCTTTTGCAGTGTCAGCCTCCGTCGTGCGTCACCTGGTCCGTTTTTCTGCCCCCTCATTGAACAGCGGAGGCTCCATTTTGTTTGATTCTGGATTTTGCAGTTACTGTCGATAGCTAGCGAACAAAATTATTACTTGGACCACTTGAAGGTATGTTTACAGACATTAAAATGCATTATAATGTCAATTCTTGTTTCGTTAAAACTAGCGTTATCTGTCGTGAGGAGGTATCGTTGGCTTAAATTGGGTTAAATTTGGTAGCAAGGCCGTTAAGTTAGCTGCCTGGTTAGCTCGCTACCAAAATTACACAGGCCTGGAAAGAGATAAGGCATTTGTTAATTCGGCGTGTTCTTGTCGTTATTTATCGTTCTCAAAGTGCTTTGTTAGCTAAACCTTGAGGTTAATATATCTATTTCTTGTTTGTAGACACATTTCCAACATCAACATGAGTGGATGTCGTATTTTCATCGGCCGGCTGAGCCCCTCCGCCAGAGAGAAGGACGTGGAAAGGTTCTTCAAAGGATACGGCCGCATCAGAGATATCGACCTCAAGAGAGGCTTTGGCTTTGTGGTTAGTGTCTTAACGCTACTAGTAAATGGGTCACAGTAGCTTTCCTCAATATAAGGGGGATGGCGCACAACTGTCAATTTATACTTCGCTCTACAGGAATAGAGCCTTGTATGTATCTTAATCGGACGTTATTCATCTTGACGTATATAAAAAATCAAATTATTATTACTTCACGGGCTGACTTTTGTTCCATATCACATTTGCTGACACACCCTCACTGCAAAAAAGCCAGCATGATCTCTGTGATCCAGTTCAAAATCTAGTTTTATTTTTTTGATGAAGTGTTGCTTGGCGGGTTTTCTGCATGTCAAATTAACCATCATAACTTGTATATTTTAGCAAACGCCTCTGAACCTTACACATAGTCCAACTTACATAGTGCACACACTAACGTGTTCAGACCCCTTTTGAGTCGCAATAAGTCATTAGATGATTAGTGAATTGGCATAAAATCGGCATCTACTCTGATAATTAAACAATTGTTTAAGTCTTTTTTTCTTTAAGCAAAACTGCCAAAAACTTGATTCTTTCAGCCTGTCAAATGCGAGAATTTAATGCTTTTCTTTGACGTACAGGACAGTAAACTGAATATTTTTGGGTTCTGGGCTGTCGATCAGTCAAAACAACATTTGAAATCACACCTTGGGCTTTGGGTAATTTCAATAGGCAGTCTCTCCTTCACACCATATTTAGATCCTTTGCTGTGGTACTCTAAATTGAGCATGGTTTCATCCTGTTTGCTTTGATTACCCTTGAGATATATCTAGAACTACTGATATGTGTATAGTTCTGTTGACTATTGTGCAATGCTCAAAGGAAACATATGATGTTTAATCTGGTGAAACAACTCCAGGAACAGTGTGCAACTAGGACACAGCAGTTTGTTGCTTGGTCCATGTATGTTGAAGCTAGGGAAAGAAAGTATGTACTGGCATATTTTAAAATAGTTTGGTACTGTTTTCCTCACACATTTAAGAATGTCTGACATACAATAGGTTTTGTAAATGTTGTTGTATGCTATGTTTTCTGTAGGAGTTTGACGATCCCAGAGATGCTGAAGATGCAGTGTATGAGCTTGATGGCAAAGAGCTGTGCAATGAAAGGTAGGAATTTCTATTGTGGTAAATGTAAATAAAAAAATGTTAATGAACTAAATTTGTGTGAGTTTACCTTTCCCACTTGCTGGCTGACCTTTTCAGTGGTAAGTAGTTTGTCTAAAAATGTTTATCTCAACTTTAGGGTGACCATTGAGCATGCCCGTGTTCGTCTGCGAGGCGGCCGTGGCAGAGGTGGCAGCGGGGGAGGAGGACGTTTCTCTGATCGCTATGGCCGGGGCTCCCAGAACAGTCGGAGGTAAGGGTCTATAAGGGGATAAAAAGAGTTTACCTGCTTAACATTGGCAGGATGCTTGTCTTTGCTTGCATTCAAATGAGGAAGAAACAGATGTAAATTAGTAGCTGTATAGTTGAAATGTGTAAATACTGGTTAAACGTCAATAGTCAGATTATTGTAGTCCATGTGTATAATAGCTATTGTGGGCATTTGTGTTTCATTTCTCATCATGTGAACCAGTTAAACTAGGATGGACCTACTTAAAATGCAATACATGTACATTTCAAAGCTCCTTAATTAGCCTTGCTATTGACAAGCAGCTAATGAGAGCTCTTAGGCTCTGTGATAAAGTCTGTATCTCAGCCCCACAATCTTATCCTTAAGTTGACTGAGTTGTTTTTCTGTTTCAGTCGAAACCCTCCTCCCATGCGCACCGAGAACCGGCTTATCGTGGAGAATTTGTCCTCTCGTGTCAGCTGGCAGGTTAGTATCCCCACATGTTTTTCATAGCAAGCCTCTAAACAGCTGCAACACCACCTCCAACAGTCTGCCTCCAACAATATACACATACAATTCTAGAAGTGATGCTAAAAAAAACAACATAGAGACTCTGTTGCTGAAATCAAATCAATAATAATGAATTTAGCTCTCTAATATGTATCAATAATCTATACAAGCCCTTTCAGAATCATCGCTCTTATCAATCTGCATTTCATGCAGCTAAGTAATAAGTCAAAGAGCAGTAACAACAGCAAAACACTTAAATCTGTACCTGTTTTCAAATTTTAACCAATTCTTCACCCCTTTATTTGCCAGCCTGACTGTTGTGTCATATGGAAGAGCTCGCTTATGGTGGAGTTAACCCCTTCTGGGTCCTTCTGTCTGGGTTGAGCCTGTGGTGTCAGCCAGTCTGTCCTACTCCTAGTTGACGCCTGCTGGTCATGTGAGCGCTCGCTCCACACTAGAGGCGCTGGCGGCCCCTTCACTCACTTGCAACGCCTGGTGTGTGGTTGAGAGCGAGAGAGAGGAAACAGAGAGTTGGCAGAGAGAAAGGAGAGGAAAGAGCGAGAGTCGGTGATGGTGGTGGCGTATTGATCGATGGTTCGTTAATTTGAGGGGCTTCGATCGATCGATATCCCCCCTCCCTTCCCCCCTGTGGTGTTCCCGCACATCGCGAGCGAGAGAGTGTGAATTCCTCCCAGGTGCCCATGGATATAATCTGCTGTTATCCCGAGGTTATGGTGGGCTCGGAGAGCCTGCGGCCCACCCCAAAGGGTTTCGCTCTCAGGTAGTAGTTTCCTCTCTTCCACCCTGTTCACTCTCTTTACTGAGGCGGGGTGCCGAGACAGGGGCGGTCCCGGCGCGGAGCCCTGTGCCCTCCTTGCCAGGGAAAATGGGGCTCTTTGTGCCAAACGCTGCCCAGGCGGCGCCACTGCAGTTCAGTTCATGCAGATGGTGTTCATCTCTCTGTAGTTGTAATGAGAAGTGGGTGCAAGAATCTCAAAGCTGTTGCAAATACTCAGCCTGTCCAGTAATAACACTAGTCAAAATTCGTTTATCTAAATTGCCACACATACCTTTTTCCATTTTTTATTTTTATTTTTTTGTTTGTTTGTTTGTTTGTTTGTTTTTTTTGTTTGTTTTTGTTTTTGTTTTTTGATAAACCTCATTTTGTTTAGGATGGGCTGATGAAACATGGTCTTTGAGGTTCTTGGACTCACCCTCCTTATCTGCAGTAGCCTGTGTAGTCCTCTCAGAGAATCTAACCATCTCTCTTTTTGGGTAAATCAGTCCTGTTTTATGTCTCAGCCTGTGCTTGTGTCCTGAGCCCCTCCGTAAGTTGACTGATGTTTACATGTGTAGGACCTGAAAGATTTCATGAGACAAGCTGGAGAGGTGACATTCGCAGACGCACATCGCCCTAAGCTCAACGAAGGGTAAGACCATTAACTGATTAATGAATATCACAGTATGAAACGTGTCTGTGTTTGTCAGATCAAGCTTACATTTGCAATTTGTGGAAAATATCCATCCTATTAATGACAAACAGCATGAGTAAGGTTCCAAATAATGACGTCTCATGTTGTTTTTCAGGGTTGTTGAGTTTGCCTCTTACAGCGACCTTAAAAATGCCCTTGAGAAACTGTCTGGAAAGGAAATCAATGGCAGGAAAATCAAGCTCATAGAGGCAGCCAAGAAGAGGTGAGTTGTCTGCTGAACTTCCATTCATTAAAAAAAAAAAAAAGAAGAAAAATCAATACATATTAGAGAAGTCAGCTGATTGTGGCTGATGCATTCCTTTTTACCCATGATTAGTAATGCGCAGATCATGATTTCCAATTTCAGCTCAGGCTGCCTTTTTTTTTTATTCACAATTAGAGACCACTGTTGCCAAGATAACTTCATCCAGTACCGATTGATTTGCTCCACTTGATTTCAAAGAACTGATTTAGCTGGATGAGAACTGACAAGATGACTGTGGCTGGCTTATAATGATTTTGTAGCCAGGATTAGATAAGCGATGTATGAAGAACAAGTCTCAAAGATCACAAGGCAGAAAGATTCATAATGTTTATCACAGTATATAGCTCTAGAAGAATATGAGGTGGATTGAAGTTTAGGATGAGCCAATCAGTTGTAACACTCTGCTAAGAAGCCTTAGGGGGAAGTGTAAAATTGTATTGATTTTTGATTACTGTGCCACTCAGGCACTGTTGAGAATAGCACTTAACATTTCTTTTAACCTCTTAAGAGTCAGACCACAGACACAGGAAGTCCTCTTCAGATCATTACAACATCTGGCAGCGTTGACTATAATTATTTGAATCACCTGTCCACAGGCAGACTGCCATTCTCTGCTTCTTATCATTTATTTATGTGTGACACTTCTCTTCAAATGTGCTTTATCTATGTGCTCGTCACTGCTTAATTCAGTTCAAAGTGCTACATATGGCTCATGTTTCAAAAGCCAAATAATCTTGCATGTATCCTGGGCTCAGGAGTGCTGAAGCCTCCCTCACTGATATGTATTGATCATGCCCTAGCCTTAGTATACTGCAAGTATTAGATGGAGGTTTTTCACACTCTCAGGTATTAAATGTCAGATTGGAACTAAATCCTCCGGTTACTCTGTGTGGGATCTCTGGAGGGGAGATGCAGATAAACAACATTATCCTTTGTTTCCCTTCTGGCCCAGCGAGCCATTCTACTCAGATGGAAGGATGCTGCCCCACCCATTCACACAATGGTTGGCAGATCAGATCAGATACTCGCTTCAATATTCAAATGCGAGATTCCAGGAAATATGCAATCCTTTTTTTTTTTTTTTTTTAATACAGCCCTTGTTAAGTCTTGATTATTGATTCAGCTTAACAATATTACTCACACACGTCAAGTCCTTAGTGTGGCAGGTATATATCAGTATGTGTAGCTTGCTGGCAGTGACTGCGGAGGGATTGTTTCAGTGTTGGCATACATACAGTATAAACATCCTTACTTTTGTTTGTGTTCATTGATGTTTTGTTTATATGTTGGCATTGGTGCCAGCTGCTGTTATTGTATCCTCATACTCTCATTTCTCTTTAATGACTGAACAACACTGCACTTTTGTTTTGTTATGCCCTGCAAAATCCCAGTAAAAATATTTAAATACAAAAAATTTACTTTATAAGACAGAAATAAAATAACATTATTTGTTCTGGGAGGAAAATTCACATCATTGCAGCACAAGAGAAAGGCAAAGAAAAAAAAAAGAAAAAGCAGATTTAGTTTTTTATTTGACTGAAATAAATTAAATAAAAAACTACACACACACACACATATTTGTGTCTTATCCCGATGTTTCTCTCTTTTCTGCTTCCTAGGTCGAGAAGTCGTTCCCGGTCTGAAAGTTCTTCTCGGTCACGGTCTCGTTCCCGTGGTCGCTCTCCATCACGCTCCCCCAGGCGCTCCCGCAGCCCCGCCAAGGCCCACAACCGTTCCCGCTCCCGCAGTGCCTCTCCTGCCGGCAGCAATTCATCCCCAGCTCCCAAATCAAAGGAGCCCGCCAAGCGCTCCTCCAAGACGAGCAAATCGGCCACCCCACCCTCCCCTCCGCCTGCTCAGAGAGCCTCCGTCTCCCGCTCGCGCTCCCGTTCACGCTCCCGCTCTCGTTCTCCTTCTACTGACAGCCAGCGCTAAGAGTTGTGTTTAATTTTCATGGGAATCAACTATAGAAACAACTTGTTTCAGCAGTAGAATCAGCTTGGAGGAGTTGGCACACTGGAGTTCCCATAAACCCCTCTGACAGCCGAGACGAGTTTTCCCTGAGTAAAGTTAGGTTTTTCCTGTCTGGATTTTTCTCATCACTATCCTCAAGTTTTTCACATTAAACATGTACATTCATTGCCAGACAGGAACAATAGAATGATAGTCAGATATTTTATTATCATCATTGGGCATTTAAACTGAATAAGATTATTTGAAGGCAGCAGATTCACAGTGTTGTTCCCCTTAAGTATGGACCCATGTGTATGTTTACACCCAGTGACCCCTTACCTTTAAATAATTCATCCAACAAGGCTGCAGGTCCAGCGCTGCTGTGCCATCATTATGAACCAGCATCTACATTCACCGTTAGTGGGCTCGAGAGTCATCAATCTACACTTTTTCAGCAGTAACAGGATGGTTTTGATGAGTCGTGTGACCACTTTCTTTACTCCTTGTGATACTTTTGCTTGTAGGTGTGAGAATTTTTAATCACTTTCCACATTTTTCTCCATATTGCTCACATCTTTTCCTCTCTTTCCTGACCTACTGTACCCGCCACAGCTGCTGCGAGTGATCTGTATAAATTAGGACGCTTGCATGGGCTTTTGTTTGATCAAAATTAAGAATTTATTATTCTACTGATATTTTATTTCTGTTCAAAACTCAAATACAAACCATCATTATAACTGGCATTGGCAGCTTCAGTATCAAGAACACGTGTAGAATAAAGCACATTGTTCCATCAGTTAAAGAGCTGTACAGTAAACTTACCTATTTCAAGGATCCTACAATTTCTTTCAGTGACTGTTAAATTTTTTATTTTTTTTTGGATGTGTGGCTCTTTTGAGGATGAGGTCAACTCTTTGATTTGAACACTTTAAAATGATATTGACACATAATGCAGTTAATTCTAGCATTGTAATGAATGTTATTTTATCCTTTTGGTTAAGGGTTTTGTGTACAGCATTGGAGACTTTTGTTTTAGTGTATAAATGTAATTCCAAGAATTCTTGTTGGTACTGTGACTGGTGTTACTGTGGTTCAAATGAACATGTAGACAAAAATTCAACATTTTTTACGTAAGGATTTTATTTTACAGTGAAAAAATATGATGGACGTTTGTATGCTGTAGGAAGACAAAGAACTCAATAAAAGCATTTTAACTAAATCATGAATTTTGTCTTCGTCAGTGCTGGATAAGTACAGGTAAATTACTTGGCACAAAATGGCTTCCTTGCAGATTCACATCTTTGCAATTTGCTTCAAGTACTAGAGGAGCCCTGAGTGAACTGCAGGGCTTTGTCTCGTCTCCCAAGAGTTCACATTGCTGGACAAAAATTCAGGAGCTGTTTGAGGTCCGTTCATCATACCGTCCCCTCACACGCCTCTTTTAACTTGTCCTCAGTGCTTGCTGGCTGGTATGTGCCTGCGGGTTTGACAGTGAAGTGAACGGATGGAGAGAGCAGATTACAAAATTATTTCTTGTATAAAAAACAATGAGAGCCTCCCTCTGTGTTTAGACCATTCAATAACGGCGTGTAATCCCATGTTTGCTGTTTTAATACTGGGACTACTTTTGTGATAGAGCCTTTAGGCTTTTAAAATGAGAGTGGGCTACCATCTGTTGGAAACCAAAATAAACAAAAGTAATCCTTTCTCAGTGAAGGAACCAGTCTTTTGTCGAATGCCCACAAGAGGAATAGGGTTGTATAATGTTGTGAAAGCTTCACACAATAATGACAGAATGTTGGGAGAAGAGGCTGAAACATGCTGAGATTGCATATTGTGCAGACTTTATTAACTGCATTATAAACAGTTCATCACTGATTACCCAAATAACAACTACAGATGCATGTTCGTACTTGTTTATTCACTTACTCGTGGTTGCAACGTATTAAAGGAGAGAAGGGGCCCACCCAGGCTGCAAGTTTATCAAACATTGGTAACAGTGGTAATCTGGACTTTTCCTTTTACCTCACCAAGTATTGTGTTTTTGGCACTTGAGAAGCTGAAACCATCAAATGTTTGGCATTTTTGCTTGATAAAAAGTCTGAGGCTCGGTCGTTCTTAAGGAGATGTAAATGTTTAAAATCGGGTCACAAATAAATACTTGAAAATTCAAAAAGGCTAAATAACTACAGATAAGCGCTGGGCTGGGAGTGAACAGTGTTACTGTGCTCTAAGTATTCATGGCAGCAGAACAGTATGTGTAGGATCAACTCAAAATATACAGTGCCCATGTTCATTATTCATTATGATGAAAGCTCTGGTGCATTGTTGTGTTGGAGCTCTATGGCACAGAGGAATAAGTTGTTTCAGGCTTTGGATGCAGAGATAATACCTGTTAGCAAGATCAATTCATTGTTGTCAAAAAGGAAAAAATAGAATATCATCTGCTTTTTCCTTTAATGGATTAATTGAATACCATTAAATTGTCAAATATTTTCTTTTGTTTCACTCGACTAATGGATCAAGTAAATGCTTCAGCACAGTTGGAATCCTGCAACCCACTCAAATGAAATGTCTGAAAAGGCCTGTATTTTCTCCCGTTAACCCTTCAAAAACCTGGTGTCAGTCTCACCTTCCTCTGTTGGCGTGAACCTCTGGTGACACCTGAACAGCACGATGAGCACGGCCGCCTCCAGCAGCTGGAAGGACACGTAGACCATGGGGAACAGGAACAGAGGGCCGATCACCTCGGGGGCATAGGCCAACTTCAGTATGGTGGAGCACAGCTGGATGTTCTGACAGCCTGTTTCCATAGCAACGGTCCTCCGCTCCCTGAGGAGGAAGGGCAGATTTATACATAAGTCATGGATACATAAAGAAAGACTCATGATTTTTTTTTTTTTTTCCTGTCATGACTCTGTCACAATAATATCCATCAGAGCCCGAATTCAACCAAGTAATGGCGCCACCTTCTGTGGTTGTGTGTTCGGCTGAATTTAGCAGTATTAGTTGCATTAGTTACATTAGTGTTTGTGTCTACCTTCACAGGTGCTATAGATGGAATTGAATCTACTGACTAAATCTGATACGATGCATCTTTTCTATTTGCATTAACCAATTTCTATTAACCAATACTAGAGCCTATTAATAACAGCTTATAGACCTTTTATAAATGGGGCCTCATCAGACAGAGGCACCGAGATAACCCCCAGTCCTCCTGACTTACGATTGGTTGAGTTTGAAGAGTGAGGAGATGATGTATCCGAAGGTGTAGCCTGTGAAAGGCATGAGAGCCCCGATGGCCATCAGAGGAGGAGACAGCACCGTCAGGATGGAGCCACCGATTGCAAAGCTGGCAACGGTGCCGATCCCCACAACAGAAATCATCATTATACTGAGGCCGACCTGAGAACAGCAGGACAGGAAGTAAATCAGACTGTAGATATGTTTGCATTTTATTTGGTTTCAATATAAAAATACTAAAACTAATTATAAATTGCCCCTATGAACAAGTTCTGTCTGATATACCTCTGCGCCACAGAGCTCCATTGATGTTCACACACCATTAAAAACCTAAATTGGCTGTGACATGTTCCTTTATTACAGTAAACATGAGCTATGACGTTTGTTTTGAGTCAATCCTGCATATACAGTCTTACAGCAGGAAATACTCACTAGGGCACCAAGTATGTATTTATCCGCAGCTGAAAGTAGTACCCAACAAATGCAGCATTTACTCTTGTTTGAGTAATGTTTGTAGAAAACAGCACATTTTATGTATTTTTGTGTGATAAATTACTGAAACTGAACTACTAATTTAGTAAATTACCAAAAATTGTAGCTTAATTTCATGCCTTTATTAGACAGTTATGTAGATACATTTTAAGAACTGGTAAATCTACTTATCTGTTCAGCGTATTGATTTAACCTTCTGAACCTCGTGTCTATGCGCTGACCTTTGTGATGGTCTTGGCGTACCGCGGCCTGTGGTAGTTGATGAGGATGCCGGCTCCACAGGGAATGAGAATCATGAACAGCGATACGATGATGTCCACGTAGGGCACTGAGTTCTGCAGGTTTGTGAAACCCTGACAGTAGAGGTAGAGCAGCAGGGGCATCATGCCCAGAGCCAGCAACGTGGAGCAGGAAGTCATCACAATGCTGAGGGGAGGACAGGGACCAGATGGTAAGAAAGGTGTAGTCCAGCTAACTTACTGTGTGGAATTCAGTTATGGTGGCAAGAAAACACTGACAGCTGGGCCACATTTGATTTTATAAACAGTAATTCAGACAATTACAACTGCATTTCAATGACAGGGCACAAAAAAGTTATTTTAACTCTTAACAAATACTGGCCAGATTTTTTAATTTACGATCCGTATCTTCCTTCTTATTTTGGCGGCCCGTTGACCCAACACTCAAAGCATCCTGTTTCCCTTTATCTTGAAAACAAGATACGATGGCAAGATACTCATGATATTTACAGGGGATGTTCATGAATCCTGATGTTTTTTTTTTGGTGACCTCTCAACCATCAGGACCAAAATTTCATGTGTACACAAGACGTGCCATTGCATGTCTTTGCTTTACAGATGAAGAAAATGGCAAAGGTGACACATTACATAAACACAAGTAGACTGTATAAAATAAAAGTTAAGAAAATAAAGGGGTGTTAATATACGTATATATTAAATACGTGCATTAATTTGGCTTCTCTCAGACTTTGCTGGCGCTTCTTTTAGTTTCCAACACATTCATGTTCCTTGAGTTTTCCCTACAGGATCAACACTTTTCATCAGTATGTTGTGAGTTCTGCCCCCGCCTCTGTCCATCTTGTTTGTTGTGAGGTGTAATGAAAACTGAAGCCTGCAGGGGCTGCTGATGGGGCTTTAGACATGTTAATTTGCAGGCCGAAATATTTTCTGAGATGCATTAGACTTATCTGCCAGGCAATTATTACAAGGTTTATGACCCCCAGGTGGCCCCATTATATGGCAGCAGCTGTTTAACTACATGTCACAGTCACACTTACATTCTAATAACAAATCCTGTAAAAGGTTGTTGTTAAAGCTGATTGTTGATTAGAAAAATGATATTAGGACTCTTGTTTTTATCTGCAAACATGATCTGTGGTGATGATTTTATTTTCTAGTGTTGACACAAAAATCTTTAAAAGAAAATCTATGATATTAAAGGGATATTTTCAACAAATTATCCTTTCTCTTTCAAATATTTTGTCAAATGAGGAAAAACTTCAACAGTGGCTAAAACAGCTCGTTTTAATCAATACTTCCGTCTGTTTTAGTCATTAGTTGCATCATCAATGCCTCAAGTCTTCCTGTCAGACCTTGCCTCATAGCTGTAACCCAGATAAGATGCCCAGGCATCAGATAGAGCAGGAATGTCCTGAACAACACGCCACCATAATAACCACACCTTTGTGAAGACCTAATGAGGTGAACGGCCTCGTGGCTGCAAGTAAAGGGATGTAATATCACGTTATTAGGAGCATAACATGTCCTGTATGTTTTATGATCAGACTGGCGATGTCCTGCAGGTCGTTCAACTCTAATAACAATAGGAATTGTGCCACCGGTGATTAGATCACAGGGTGTTCTCTGATTGGCACAGTAACATTAATTGCACCTGAATGAAAGCATGTGCCAGCACATCAGCTGCGGTCCTTGAACTTTTACTTAAAGGGTCTCACAAAACAACATGTTTTCCTACTAGTCATGTCATTTCTTGCAGAATTTCAGTTTTGTGTCTATTATTGGGTTTTTAGTTCCAATTAAACTGCTCACAGTGAGGTCTGTGGATTATCTGGAGAAAGTGTGACATTTCTCCTGGCTCGATTCGTCTCTGTTGGGTTATTTGAACAGCAGAAACAAAATGTATCCATTTCCATTGTTTAGTGTCGGCAGCACAAGTCTCAGAGGTAGATATCTCAATACCTTGGCACATAAAACCAAAAAATGTCTGCATGGCTGGATGCCACTTGGTGGGGAATGTGTGTTTTGGTGATTTGGGTCAACTGGCCCTTTAAGCTTTAAGAAAACATTTCCATCAGATCACTCAAAGAATGAATAACTGTAATCTGACGCAAGGTCTCTTGACAGCTGAGGGAAACAGCTGTCAAACACTGGTTGCAAAGATTTCTGTATGTCTGCGGGGTACAACTTCATCCGTCACTTCAAGGAGACACTTCTTCAAGGAGACACTTCTTCAAGGAGACACTTCTTCAAGAGCGACGATCTTCACCTTGATATGAAGACACAGGCTGCTGACAATCACTGTCATCTCACACAGATCCACAGACTGAGCTCCCGTTTATTCAATCAAACAAGTGCACTGCCAACTTTATGAGAATCTCTGACCTGTTATTAACTGTTGTGCAAAGGTATGATAATATTGTGATGTAAAGCGCCAATAATGCAATGTGAGCATTTCTTCATCTGCTACTGAGCCCACAAAAAGGTTCAGTTGTGGTGTTCACTCGAACTTTAATCACTTCAGATTGCACTTTTGGAGCGTATGTGTGGGTCAACACAAATGGGTCATGTGTGTGTACCTGAGGTTCATGTCCCCCTGCAGAGCCAGAGCCAGGATGTTGGAGAGACTTCCTCCAGGACAGCAGCCACAGATCAGAACCACCACAGCCGTCATTTCGTCCAGCCAGAACACCTACAGCATGAAATGACAACATCATCTCGCTGATAGTCTGGTATTGATAACAACGATATCACTAATGCATAGGAGATAGATTATAGGAGATAGAGTAAACCATGTGAACAAATAAATCAAAGATATATAATTAATAGCTCACACTAATTATAATCATCGACAAGTTTTCTTCAGTCTTCTTATAATTTTGCCACATTTTTGTTATTTGTTGTAAATGTGTTGTGTTTTCATCTGCATTAGGTTTTTATACAGTCTGTTAATATAAATTTCTCCTTTTTGTTTTGTTTTATTATTATTATGCTACTTGACTCCATTCTCCTCAGTTTGTGGAACTGTAAGAAATGTGTAAAGGTTTGAGAGTTGAGCCCAATGCAAGCAATGTTTTCTTAAATATAAACGCTGCAACTAAGAATTATTTTTGTTGTCAATTAATTTATTGGTAAGTTTTTTTGATTAATTAACTAATTTCTTAGAGTATAAACCTAAAGATATTCAATTCACAATGATATACAAGGCCCGAACCAGCACTACTTAACATCATCATTGAAAAATACATTAAAACAAACAAAAAACGAAATACACAAATCATATATAATGTGATTATATAGGATATAATATATTGATCAGTATGAATATATTCAAAAACATTCATATTGTTGAAGTCAGTATACTGGGGTTCGTTGTATCAGACTGCAGAAGGCCTCAGATGCTTCCTGAATAGTAAAAATAAAGTGTTAATAATTTTAAGCAGCACTACCAACCTTAGCTAAGCAAAAGGCTGTAAGAGGCATGACACCATACTGGGCCAGCACTGCTATTGTCACCCCCTTAGGCTTCACTATGTGTCGCTGGAAAGAAGGGAAAAGGTCTTTTAGTATAAAAACAATCATAAATACTTTATGTATTCATTGTACAACAGAGATAATTTACATTAAGCTGCGTGTTTCTGAAGTCACCTTGATCTTAGACACCTCCATGGTGCATCCCAGTGAAACCATGGTGATGAACAAGACGATTACCAAAAGTATGTTGATGGTTTTGTCCAGTACCGGCGACAGCATAGGCATGAAAACAGAGCTGGTGTTAGCAGCCGTCATGTTGTCCCACAACTCTGAATCAGAAAATAGATCATCTGTGTAGTCGATGGTGCCTTCCATGTTGGAGCAGCACACGAGGTACTGAACAGTAATCTTACAACACAAACAGACACAGACATCGACACACACACACACACAATATATATATATATATATATATATATATATATATATAAGAGAGGGAGAGAGAGAGAGAGTGAGCGAAGTAAGAAAACAGACTGGTGTGTGCTGGGAAATAAGTCATGAGGATTCTAACATCACAGAATTGTGTCTTCAAGCTTCACAGTTTTCTCATTTCCTCATCCATCAGTCATGCACAACACTTCAACTGCTTTTTGTGATTCTACAACAAAAACAGATAACCAGAGCATGACAAGAGTTAAGCAGCCAGGAAAAAAAAAAAAAAAATCAGTGACAGGCCGAGTACTGATAATGTTTCACCTTGCTTATCGGACAGAAGGAGAGTCAGCTTGTTGAGGAAAAACTCTCAGAGGTTTGACAGAAGCTTTATGCAAGTAGCAAAGGGAGATAGCACAACTCTGCAAGTTATGCTGCTGAGGACACATTTACAGATAAACAGACATAATACTGTTTTTTGTATAGGTGAAATTTCTTCCACACAGCTGGTATAGCATGCAACTGTTATCCTTACACTAACAAATATCACATACACATACACACCATCCCCAAAAGAAATATGAAGAGAGATCAGATGCTTTCATAGCCTTTGATAGTTCGAGTGTTCACTGGTACTTTCCGTTTTTGTGCTTTCCTGTCCACAGTTCCTACATTGTAGTGTTCATTGTCTCTGCAACCGGCAGAAAGGTCACTGTTGTGTTGATAAGCATGCTTGCTTTTCATCGCACACGATCAGCGATCAAAGAGAGCATAATCTTTCAGTTCATAGTACACATTATATGGTCCTGAGATCCCTCAACCTAATATCTTATGTATACTCCATATATAACATTACAGTATATAATATTACAGTTTGAAACTTACAAGCAGCAATCGTAAAGCATACGACGTATACTGTACAGTTTGTATCCTGCTGTTGGTGTCCGATCAAAGTGATCACAATGAGCCATTTCCGAAACAGATCTGTGTCATATCCTCCACAATAAAAGTCGCAAACGTTTCCCGATTTGCTTAAACCTATTCCTTTGCTAACATTTGTAATTGCACATTTCTTGAAACTGAATCAAAAAAACATGTTCATAACCTTATGACAACGCAAAGACGTCGCATTTCTGCAGAAAGTCACTTAAATCTGTATAATCTGTGCATTATGTAGGAAAAACACAAAGCTTTTTTTTTTGTTTTTGAACCTCACTCTCTTTCGTGCTTCAGTGCCTTGTTTACCTGCATCTCCAGAGTTGACAACCACATCCTCCCTACTGGCATGCTCACATGCTGTGTGTAGACAAATTACTTTCACAGGATTTCTCACATCTATCTTGCACCCGTAAAAAGAAATGCATGTTAAAAAAAACAAACAAACTTAAATACCACAGAGCTTCATAAATGTGTCTAGCAACTACACGCTGACCTCTTGACTGTTCTGTAGGTGAGAATTGCACACCTTTTCTTGGAGGTCAGTTCTTACAAAAATAGAAGAAAAACCCCCAAAATAGATTTTCCCCGGAAACAAACACTTACATCCGCTTGAAGTGTAAAACTGTCAGATATGTTTGCAGCTGTATTTCATACATTGTATCACCTGTATGGGCCAGAGGTTCCTCCTCTTCTTTCCTCTCTTCTCTCCGAGACAAAATCTAGTCCTTGTGTTTTGCCCGTCTTTTTTGTTGTCAATCATAAATGACACATGACAGCTACCGGCAGTACAGAAGTGCCATCTAGTGCACAGTTGGCTTCTGCAGCTCGAGAGGAGAGAAGCCTGCACCAGGAGAGTTTCTCACATCGGACTTTAACTAAAGAAAAAGCAGAATACATTAACTAATATCCAACAAATCTGTCTATTTGTATTAGATCATAAAGTGTCCTTGTGTTGTAGTGGGACAATGCTAAACACAGTTTTGGTTGGCATTGTGATCATTTCGATAAAACATCATTTATGGGTTTAATATTGTCAGTAACTAAGGCCAGTAACTGTGTGTGTTTTTTTTTTTGTTTTTTTTTACAAGTTTCTAATTTATGTTGCTGAGAATCCATCAAAGACATAAGAGATGAATTATTCTTTAAAATGTTGACTGCAAGTTCTCCTCTCCGGGGTAAATTTGTGTCTGGAAGAGCGGACGTCTGCGAAGGAGTCTGCATTGTGGAAATCTCAGAGGAAGATCCTGTCAACATTCCCTGAAGCTCTTTCTGTTTGACTTGTTTACTAGTTACCACAATGAGTCATAGAGGAGAAGAGAATAATATCTAAATGAGGATCTCTGTCCTGTGAGAGTATAATTCACGTTGCTTCTCCTTATCTGCGACAACTTTTGACTGTGGATGTTTCTATTCTGACATGAGAGGGTTAGAAGTAAGGCAAAGGTCGAGAAAATTCAGCTATCTTTGCCAAATAAAACCACAACATCAAAGTCTTAAGAGAGTGGCTCCAACAGGCGGCGAGTTCCATTACATTTCACAATAGAAAACTGTTGGTGGAACAAACAAAGAACAGTTTGCTTTCACTGATGCCAAGCCAACAAAAAAGCTAACATGCTAGTTTTTGTACAGGAAGTTAAGCTGAAATGAGGCCCCAGGATTTATGAAGAGCAGGGCGTTAAAAACACACATGTATGTTCTGATCATTAGGAGTCTACAGTTTTGCTTTACAGCTAACTGAAGTCTCGATGTTATCATCATGCTTGTTGGCAACAGCACTCTGGATAGCCGAGCACATTAGCTTTTTGCCAAGAACAAACTCTGCACATGATCACAATTTACATACAGTTCACAGACTGTTACTTCAAAGCTCTTGCCAAGGCTCATGATGGTTCTCATGTGCTACGAAATCATCTGCAGTGGAGAATGAATGAAAGAGGAAACTCCTCATCCATGCAGCTCTGTATCTTAACGCATTCGAAAAAGGTAACTGCGCTACATGAGTGATTCTCAACCAGATGTGCTTTTACCCCAGGGGCTACTTCTGCAGTTACAATGAAGGATGTGGAAAAAAAAACAACAACTGTGGAGCAGCTCAGCTGATTTGACAGGAGGAAAATAAACACAAAAATATGGTTATGAATTGAGAAGCGTGAGGCTGCTCTTTACTGCATTAAATGATCAGCTACAATAAACCAAACCTTGAGTGAAAAGGTTTCTATAAGACATGGATAAGTTTTAGAAACATCCAAGTGGTAGCAGAGCAAATGCACACGGGTGGTGTTGATGACGGAGTAACCTCTGCAGTAGAACAAGGTGTTGTTTGTTCCTCAAATGCACAAAAACCTAAGCAGTGACATTGAGGGAGGTGGACCAGTGATTGGCAGCTGCTGAAAAGCCACCACCATACACTTCAAATTTATGGGATGGCTCTGGGGAAATACTGCATTCTGTTTGACTTGCTTATGGATGATCATGACGAATCATAATGAGGTTGGCTGAAAGGTAAATATGTAAATAAGTTTCTTCCTCAGTGAAAAAATAAATCTTCCTTTGTCTTCCTTTGTGCTTATAACAAAATAAAGATGAGTAGGAGTAAGGCAAGGCAAGTTTATTTATATACAGTAGCACCTTTCAGCAATACAGACATAAAAGGCATTAAGACAGCATATTAAAGAAACACAAAACAATATAAAAAGACATAAACATAACATCGTGAGCAGCATTGTTTAAACAGGTAAAATCTAAAAACACTAAAGAGAAACTGGGCATATCAGATACACCTCAGTATTATAGTATTTGGTTGCATTGGCTCAGTGTAGACTAAACTCTTGACACAAAACCTAATAATTCTACACTCATATAGCACACAAACATCTGCATATGCATCAAAGTACCACCACCATAGGTGTTTTTTTTTATGACAAACCAATCTCTAAAAGGTTTTTGCCGTAGGAACAACAAAAGAAATACATATATTCTTTTTAAGATAATAATAACAGTGAAGTAGATAACCTCATACCCGGTATATGATTATGCCTGGTGGGTATACACATTAATCCATGATACAGAAGCATGTAAAGACCGTCATATCTACTGATGGGTTTTGGAACCACGCTGGCCCCATATAGGCCTGTGCCCGATAGGCAAATTCAGTAATCCACTATATCCACAACTACTAAAGGTAATTCTCTCAAAGATCATACAAGTGGCAATGAGGAAAAAATACAAAACTTAAACAGAAGTGATGTAGGGTGGATCATTTTCAAAACTTGAATTCTATTTACCGAGGATGCACTGCACTGCTCTAAGTGTAAACATAATGCATTGTAGTTTATACCTTGGTAAATCCTAGAGTCATACAAGGCTAAAATGATGATTGTGACTTAACTTCATTCTATCAGCTGTCTTATTTGACTTTGCTTCTGCCCTGAATGTCTGTATCTCAGGAAACATTAGATGTTTTGATCACTTGTAGGTGACATTACTGTAAATACTTCTGCTTATGGAAAACTGCATGTGCTTTCGTTGGAGGAAAAAAGGTCCAGATCCGGTCCAGAGACTAAGTCTAGACCTCTTCACCAAACACTTAACTTTCTACAAAAATGCCTGTACTCAATCATATATAGTTCCTTCTTAGGTGGATTCTCCACCTATTTTCCTTCTAAGTGAACCTATTAACGCCTTGGGAACAATGGTGTCCAGCCCCGTGTGGAATTCCCCAAACCAGGTGTCCAGAAGCCCCTCGTCCAATCTAAACCTAAGGCCCTCGTCTATCCTCAGGCTGGGCCTCACTCCCGGGGCCTTCAGACCATTTTTTTTTAACTTTATTCCCTCTTTAACAATCCTACTTCAGTAAAGGCTGGTTCACATACAAATCTAACCTCAGCTGTGAGTACAGTTATTCCATTGGATTATATAAATTTAACATTCAGTATATTTATAATGCATAGTATATTTTAGTGAGAATTTACTACAACACTTTCAGATGTTAACACTACACAGTTAAGGGACAGAATTTCATAAACTGCTTTGGAAACTACATTATGCTCATCCAAGGCCCTTTACAGGCATAGTGAAACTACTCTACCCTTCATCTGATGATATATCTGCCTGGGACCCCCCCCCCCTTCTATAAGTCATGCAGGAACAACAATGGCAAGAACAAAAAAATCTCTAATGGTGACTGCATACTGGGGCCCTCAGTGTAGTCTGCAATATGCTGGAAAGGGACAAAAGGAGGGCATTTTAATGGTTTAACAGGCTGGCCCTGTAAGGACATAGGGGGAGGGGAGGGAGTCTCTGCCTGGACTGATCAGCCTCTCTAACTATAATTACAACCCAGTGCTTCACATGCCTGGATTTTTACCACTTTTTCCTCCTCCAGAACCGGCCACAGCTAATCAGTGTTTGAGCTCCCTGCAGCCTGAATATTATGGGCTGAAATGGTGCTAAAACACTTCATAACTCAGCTCAGACCTGAGGGAATAGCATTATGGGTGTGGCAAGAAGGCAGATGAGAAAAATCTTGGTTCCTGTGAGCCGAGCCTCATTATCATATCTTTCCTGTAACATTACCCATCCCTTGGGTTACTTTAAATGTGATCGTAGTGCACAAACATTGCTATATGCTTTCTTGCTGTCATCCATGAAGACGGAGAGACTTCACTGTAGTGGATGCATTATTAAAGCCTGGCCTTATTGTGTTGTCATCCTTTAAATAGGCTATACAGTTACCAGACCATATATTCCTGGGTGACCCTGTTTGGCTCTGCTGCTGCAGGACATACAGAGTCATTCTATAAAATAGTATATCAGGGGTAAAATTGGCAGAGAGGACTGGAAACAGAGGCTAAGACAGAATGGGGGATAATCCAGACCAGTTTAAAGGTGGAGGAAGAGATGGTAGGATGAAGGTCAGGCAGGTCTAAAGCCCTTTTTCGGCAGGGAGGGCAATGGAGGCCAGGGTGTCGCCTGCAGCTGCTGTGGCCTCTTGACCTGCTGGGGGAATGGATGAGGCTGCTCCCAGCTTGTTTTTTACACATTGACTGATCCACTGTTGCAGCGCAAAATAATCCACAGTGTAAGCTCCTTATCGACAGCACAATTTTGTGAAAAAGGAAGCACTAGAGCAGATTATTTGCAATTTGTCCTGTGACCAGCCCCCACACTACATAACACAGTCTTGTTTATTTATCTTTCCACCAGTAATGATATAAAATAGTTGCATTGAGGAGAATGGTCACTGAGTTTTGCATCATAATGGCTATATGTCAGATGATTAGGGATACCACTAATGATTATTTTAGGTACAAATTCATTTGATGATTATTTTCTGGTTTAATCAATTAGTCATGAAATGCTGAAAAAAATTGAGAAATGTCCACTGAAATATAATTTTGTCCAGCCAACAGTCCATACCCAAAGTATTCAAATTACCAAATCAAACACTTAGACACGCACAAAAATATTTACCTTTTAGGCGCTGGAACCAGTGAATTTTTGACCAAAATGATGAATCATTTATTAAAATAGCTGCAGATTATTTTTCTTTTGCTCAACCGATCAATTAATTGACAAGTCCCTTCAGCTCTACAGTTGCTATTACAGCAGTAGAATTATATTGTTCAGACTGAACGAAAAAGAAAAGAAATTAATTAAAAAAAGGAAAGAAAAATAAATAAATCAGGCTGCATTTTAAGCGCTAAGAGTAAGGAATAACCTCATTGGTGCATACTTGTAGGCTCGTGTAACTGGACCTGGGAGTGTGTGTCTACTGAGTTTGTGTGTCTTGAGTGTCTTCTTAAAATCCACGTGTCTCAGCCATGGCCCTATTTAGCTCCTCTGACATACAAATACGACTCAAACTGCAATTCCCATAATGCTTCTGAAGAAACAAGACGCTGTGACGTCACTAACAAGCTCATTGACTCATGGTTGTTGTAGTTTACAAATGGCTACATTGGCTTCTTTCTAAATAATATTAAAGCCTCTTGCTAATGTTTGCTCAGCTCATCGCTTGGCAAATATTTCTTTTTATATATATCTACATTAAAATACTTGAAGAATGTATTTGTTCTCCAATGGTACACAGAAAAACTGTCTCAGCATCTACAACTCCCATCCACCCCAGTGATGTGGCGCATGCGTGCTGCACAGCGGTAGGCTTGTGTGTGGAGAGTAGTCACGTGGAGACGGTAGAGTCCACCTCGGTTCTGTCCAAACAGAACGTGAGCTGTTAGCAGTCTGACTGTTGGAGCGCCGCTCGGTGCTAAACCGATTCATGTTGTTTTTTTAGCCTCCCGTCCCTTTAAACTAGACTATTTTATCGAAGAATGAGTGATAACGATGATATCGAAGTCGATAGTGACGTGAGTATGGCCACTTTTCGCTTTTTATGGATGTTATTTTGCTAGCTGGCGATTTAGCTGAACTAGCTTCTCAGCTAGCGTTAGCTACCAGTAGGCTGGCTAGCTTTGCTTTTCTGTGATAAGTATGTTTGTCGGGATTCTAGTTAAATGATAAGCAACTCTAGCTTTTCTTGATTCTGAGCATTGTTTATTTGCTAAATTATTTTACTCTCTAGTGACCTCAGCGAAACAGTAAGATTTGCTGAACAATTATGGCTACAATTGTACTTTTTGTTCTGTTTCTTTGCAGGAAGAATCACCGAGATATCACTCTGTGGTGCGTAATGCTGGGGGGATTTGTCCAGTGTCGAAAAATGTCTCACTGTTGTTGCAAAGTTAATTTATCCATAATAGTATGCCTTTGTTTTTTCTTGGTATATAATCGATTGGTAAAATTGCACTGTGGAGGTTGATGTCACTTCAAACAGAATGTGAAAGTGCTGCTTTCTGCCAACATGTATTTATCAAATTTATATTTGTGCACGGCAACTTTCCGTCATTTTCTACAGCGCTGAACTAGTTATCCATGCATTTCTAATTGTGCAGCGATTGTTCCTCGGTATCAGCGTTAGTAGTGCATTGCAGGGTATCCCCCATCCTGTGTGTACGCGGCCATAGGAGGACGGTGACACGACATCTATATTTAGACCAAAGCTTTATCCAGCTACAAAGGCTTTTTTGTTGCATGTTTATTATTTTTTCCGGTTAATACCAAGATTTTTGTGCGAGGTGGCAGCTGGTTAGTCGTTCCGAGTCGTTTTCCCCCGGCGTTGCACTTCACACCACGGGGGATTCCGCTCATGATTTGCAAATTACACATCTAGGTCATCTCGGTAAAGAACGACCGTTTACGTTTTATACTGCATCCACGGTGAGGATGCAGACGAAAAGAAAAGGTGTAGAGGTTGTTGCATGTGTAGAGGAGCGGTGGCCGCGCCTGCATCTCGGACAAGCCTTCGTGTCAGGAAGGGGTGCTGCGGGATGTTTCCCTGTGTTGCAGCCAGTGATTAGAGCCATCTTCTCTCTACAGGCCACTAAAGGGCTGGCAGCCTAAATGAATGACGTATAGCTGCATCGCATACCGGCGAGAAAAACACCCTGCGCGACTTGGTTAATGCACAGGCTGCACAACACGACGTCTTGCGTCTAATCGGATTGTCAAAATTGAAATGCAGAAAATCATTTAGGGATTTAGCGTTAAATTATAGAATATACATTAGTGATGTAAAGATAGAAAAAAGCTTTAATGCTGTTGCCCTCCAACAGACCTCAGACCTTTTGCTTCAAGACAGTCATCAGCTCAATTGCAGAGCCACGTGAGAGACTAGAACCCGATTTCAGTTCAGTTAGCGTCATTTAACTTGATTACAGAGCAATAAACATAAATATGTATGTCCTGAGAGCTGTTTGTGCCCCTCAGAGTCAGACAGCTGCTTCCATCTCTGCACATCTTGTCCTGAATGAGAACGTGGCCCTAAAATCTGCACATAAACAAATAAGACTGAAAGATTTTTTTTATAGATATTTCTGTTTTTAAAAATTGTGATTAATATCTGTAAATTAAACCACATCCCTTTATTTGTGGTCTGCATTACAAACAAAATTGAACTAACAATGAAAACAAACTTGTTTTGATAAAATCAGACCAGTTAGGTAGAACAAGACTAAACTTTGAAGTAAATGTGTGTAGTTTCTGTAGATTTTTTTTAAAACCAATTTTGCTCCCATTTATTAAGCTGTTACATTAGCAGGATACTTGACACTACTCAAAAACCAAATTTATTAAAGCTGCTATTTAATTTTCACTCCACAACTACTCACCTCACCTAGATTGTTTATTGATTATGTAGAAAACAACTGTTGGTCTTTTATGAACAGCAACGCCCATTGTTTTGTATATCAAAATTGATATAAAGTGGTGTTTCTTGTTCCACAAAACCATGTTTGGCCAGGCATTTTTACCAACGGTGGCTACGGAGAGCCTATAAACCAGGCAGCAGCCAAGATTTCTCTTTTGTGGTTTTGGCAACTTGCAGAATTAACGTTAATTAGCTTCAGCTGAGTAAATTTACTACCAACAGTAGTCATTACAGCTGGGGAAATCAGCAGCAACCAGCTTTAACTTTCACTGGCTACAGCTGGTTAAGACACTGCTGATAATGTGAGTTATAATTAAAAATTGCAGCTCTTAAATTCCACAACTTGCATCTAAGATATAAAGGTGAAAAATGATTTAACCTTGCATGCAAATAAGCAAATAATATTTTTAAACTGAGTGCAGTGTGGCAGACATTGAATAGGTTTCCAAACATAGATAGCGGGTCTGTCGTCTGGAGATACAGTGTGTCTTAGGGTGAGATAAGAGACTGACCGTCAGGTCGCATTGGCCGCTGAGCACCAAAGGCTTAACAGATAATATGCATTATGTCATATATTAGGCCTGAATATAGAAGTAAAACAATTAATTGTTTGACGGAAAAACTTTATCGGCAACCGTTTTGATAATCCCTACTTAATTTTTTAAGTAAAGCTGGCAAAACTCCATGCGCTTATATTCTCAAATATGAGGATTTGCTGCTTTTCTCTGTTCTATATCATTGTAAATTGTTAGTCAGACAAAACAAGACATCTGAATATGTTGCCATGCACTCTGAGAACTTGTGATGGATGTTTTTTTACTATTTACTGACAATTTATAGACCAAACAATTAACTAAGAAAATAATTACTATTAGTTTAAGTGAGAATAAGAATTTGTGGTATTTGCAGCTCTTCTTGAACATAGCATCTCATTCACCCACAGGAGCGTCTGGTTTATTGGCATTTCTACTGTTGTTAGTGCAAGAAGGGTTTCCATGTTCTCCACCAGCCTGAGAGAAGTGTAGGCTTTCATGCAGAGAATGTGAGATGACCATCAGTAGCCAGGAAGCGGCAGCTACCAGCTCTTCCACTCCGCACCTGGAGCAGTTATGTAATGTGTCACGGACAGGTATGAATAGAAGGGAGAGAGCAGCTCAGCTGGCATGTCGTAGGCAGCCAGCAAAAGGTATCGGTTTTATGATGAACTGATAATGGTTGCACTTAGGTAATTGGACACCTGTTTTTGTGGTGCCTGTTGTGCTTAACAACTTAGATAGTATGTGCCATATAGCTAGGAAGGCACCACAACATGTCTGAGTACATTACATAAATTATATAATCATGTATATATATTTTGAAATCAAAACTAACAAACATAGTAATGTTAAAGAGTTTGGGTTTTTTTTTATGAGCAGAGGTGGTTAGCCATGCTGATCTTGATTGATCCTGCCTTTGCGATCAGTTCAGTTTGTAGATGTTGGCTGAAGTAGCAGCTATGCCCAAAAATATGTAATCTTGCCTGTGTGAAACAGAACCTCTGCTCTTTTCCCTAGAAAACCATACTTGGTTTTATAAAAATGTACAAATCTTCCAGCTTTGTATGATTATTGGATGGTTTTACACAGAAAAGCTTATTTTAATTGGGATGTAGTAAGATTGTTGCAAAGTAGCAAATAGCCAAGTTTTTATTTAAATCACCTGGGGCACTTAATGTCTAGTGATTGTATATGGAGCAGCTCCATAGAGTCTTGCTTGAGTATGTCCTTGCGTCTTAATTAACTTTCACTGATTAATGATGAAAAAAGGTGTTCTTCAAAGAGTTAGTTAAGCTGATGCTCACACACGTCTAAAATGTTTTGTGAGCACTGCGTGTCATCAGACTTTCTATACACGACTTGAAAATGTAAATGTTTTATGCTAAATGCAACTTTGACATGGATAACTCCACAACAGAAGGAAAGTCATTCAAGGTATTCAAGGTTGTAATTGTCTCTCTCACACTTGCGGGATAAGAAAATCGGCCACATGTACGATACTGAACGCCCTTGTCTATTCCCAGAAACCATGCACATGAAAATGGCTGTTTGACTTGTAATTGCACATACCATCAATAACAGTCATATATTTGTTTATGCAAGGGTTAATAGGATTGCAGTCACGCCTCTCGGTGGCTGTTTGTATGATACGGGGAGGTCCTGGTGGATTTGTGTCTCCTAGATGGTTTGTTGCTTTTGTGCTTCTGTCACGCCAGCCACACGAATCACAAGACTGGCATTGTGGGTAATGTCCAGTGAATTTTAAATAGTGTTTTTTATTACTGTTTCAGTTTCGTGTTCTGTTGTTTTCTAACATTAAATTGCTAACCAATAGACCAGTCAGTAACGTCAGCTGGGTGTTTTTCTTCTATATGGTTCAAAGGGTACTTGAGTACACACCAAACACATTGTCCCTCCCACCAGACATATGACACACTGAGGGCTTGTTTTAACCTGCGTGCTGTCTCACTTGCGGCTACTTTGGTTTTTGTTTTGATCCATGGACAAAATGAGTCAGATGATACCAGGTCACACGACTTCTACTGTCTCCCGTCAGCCTGATGCCATGGCGTGAGCACTTGCATCACTCTGCGGTTTTGTTGCTAATATTTGAATCAGGCCTTTGGTTTGTTGGAGGCGTATGAAGCGGGATGATCAGTCGTTGCTATACAGGATCTGATTGGATGTTGCACTTGATGTCTCAGCTTGATGACAGTGTGGATTAGTCCAGAATCAGATGTGATTGGAGGCTGTGTGATGGTTTGGCCTAAAAACAGGTTAAACTACAGGCAGCAAACTGATCTCCTGCCTGGCTCTGGTCATGTGATTATGGCAGCCATCTTATGCCTTTACAGTCTAATTAGAATGCAAATGTGCGGTTGAAATATGCAGCCTGTTAGATGCTGCTTCTGTTGCTGCCTAGTTATTTTAAAAACTTGACAGTAGACATGAGAAATGTGGAGTTTGATTCAGCACAGCAGCCTGAAATTATCCATGAATTTGGCCCTGTGCAGGGGAGGTCATATGATTAAAGCTGTGTAATGTAGAAAGCATAGCGCACACTAGAGAAGACAAATGCTCAGTACAGAAAACAAACACTAAACAGCACTGAGCTACATTTTTCTGCTTTTAAACCCTGAATCTTAAGCTACAAAAAGCAAATCTCCAACAATACCATCATAAATCTACATTTCACAAGGCCTTTGTTGGTCACTGAGGTGTTTTAATTCAGTCGGTCAGTGTAATCCTCATTCAGGATCTGAGTGTCTTGACCTTGACCTGGTCATGGTTAAATGGCCACATAATCCAGCAACTGCTAGTGAGGAGAATTGAACTTCAGAGTCGTCTTTTCTTGCACTCGGTCCTTTTTACAGTGAGGCTCCTGGAGGTTATCGAGTGGTTGACTGTCGTGATGACAGAAAAATTAATCAGTTTAATCATTTATGCCTACCAAGGTGGTTGATTTCGGTTTTATTTGTCTCCTAGCAGGATATCCCAACTACTTTATGGGTTTTAGTGAAATTTGGTGCGTACAAAGAGTTATGCCAAAGAATGTGATTAGTTTTTGGTTTGGCTCTTATGATGCAGGAATTTCTCAACACTGTGAGATAAGGCATCGTAGAACATTTGTTTTTTACATTAACTATTGCACTTGAAAGTGTGTGTTTTCTGTGTTCATTTAAATTTATTTTGATTGTGCAGCCTTGGTGGAGATGCACACTCTCTAGTTTCTCAAGCAAATATACAGAATATTTGCAAGTTGTACTTTCACAAATGTAAGGATTTGCCTGGTCTTGTCATTTTCATATGAATGTGGGGAGATTTTGGTAACGTGTATCTTTTTGTCGAGCTTACACTTAGAAAGTTTCAGTTTTCCGATGTGCTTTTGAAAGTGAATTTTCACTCACTAGCCGGCAGCCACAACTAAAATACACCAATATTTAAAGCAAGATGATTATATTTTCCATCTTGGTTGTTTAGCTGACTGACTGACCTCAGGAGGTCTGTGCCAAATAACTGTGTCCAAATTGGGGTCTGACATGTCAGTTACTGTTTTTTTTTGTTTTTTTTTTTAACTATCACAACGACCCATGATAGTTGTTAAGACTGGATTTCCTCTTTAAAGCTCAGGTTTTATTTTTAAAGCTAATTAAATGCTGCTCAGTTTTTTTCTACATTAGTTTTACTTTCTATCAGCAAAGGTTTGGTTGATATTGCAGTTGCACTTAGTTTAATTTAAAATACCCCAACAGAGAATAATTACTATAAGGATGAGCTTCTGTCGATATTAAACCGACAGAAGTTGGTGTTACATTAGTATGCCATCTCTAGCTGGAACAATCAATTGATTGATAGACAGAAAATTGAAATTTTTTTTGTTTTGCACATTTATTTGTGTTTCTCTGTCATATGTGAATTTAAAGTGAATATCATTGCGTTTTGGAGTGCTGGTTAGACAGAACAGGAAATTTGAAGATGTTGCTTTGAGCATTATGTGTCAGTATTTTATTATAGGTAAAGCAATTAATTAAGAAAATGATCAGCAGATTGATTAATAATGAAATTAATCATTAGTTAGAGCTCTGATGTCATCTTGTTGATGTCAGCCTCTTATTAAAAATCAGATACTAGCTAGTCGTCGTCGTTCACCTCTCATATGATGGATAGAAACACATTTTGAATATATATATATATATATATATGGTTTGAATAATAATTACTGCACAGAATCAAAAGCACAGTGACAGTGTTGTTCTTGTCGTACAGGCAGAGTGGGACTTGGCAGCAGAGTGGTTTGTGTAGGTTTGACCATGGACGGCTGGACACAAACTGTCCTCTACCCACGCTGCTCTGCTGCCAGGCTGAAGGCCTTGTGACTCTTCTCATTGCAGGCAGACAAACGGGCACACCACAATGCGCTGGAGCGCAAGCGTAGGGACCACATCAAAGACAGCTTTCACAGCCTCCGGGACTCGGTGCCCGCCCTGCAGGGAGAAAAGGTTGGTAAAGCTCAAACTGTAAGTTCTCCATGCACACGATCACACTCATTTTCTGCTTGTATTTTGTCATTTGTTTGCTAAAATGTGAAGTGTAATATGTCTGTTTGTGTTTAACATGAAATGCACTGTTCAGAATATTTAGGGATGAGAGCATTTTTACCATGAGGTTATTTTTAATGATTTCTTGACGCAGATGTCTTCACTTGCTTAATGTGTGCGTGTCAGTGGAGGGAAACAGTTGAAGGGACTGGGAGGAGGGCAGATGGTGGAAGAGTGCAGATTGGCAGCAGCAAGACAGTGATGCAGTCTAAATACTTGGACCAGCGTCAGGAAGTTATTATGAGGAAATTTTGTTGCTCTCTTCCTGTTTTGACATCCATGACATTGAGAGCATTTGGAGTGGGTTCAGTAACTGGGCACAGTGTTTAATTTTCCCCTAAAAGACCAGTTCAAGACTCACATGCAGCGTGAAGGGCGGGGGCTCATGAGATGCTGTGAGGGATGTTTGCTCATAATTTGTATGAAGTGTTCGGTTACAGCTGCCTCAGTACTCGACCCCCACCCCTCTCCCATGACCATACTGATATTATAGCTCTGTTTTAAAGTGCAGTATTGTTTCTTGTGAGAGGAAGCAGAGTAGAAGCAACAAACATCAGGGCTGGGTATGAAACCTGAACACTACTGAACTACTACTGTCTGTAGCACTGAGTATCGAAAACTGCCAAGCACTAAAAATAACCTGGCATTTAATTTCTGGTCAGATTCTTGCTCATGTTTACTGAGTCTTTGATAAGTTATTTTCTGATTTGACAGTTTTTGACTCTTTATTCAGGCAATGTCTTTGTGTGGTAATTGTTCAGGTAAAAGGTTTCTTTTGTTCAAATGAAGTCCAGGTTTTTTTATGGTGTAATGTTTGTTTGTCAATGTAAAGTATCAAAGTATCGTTTTCCACAAGGAGATTGTTTAGCTGAGGCAGTAAGCCACGTAGGTCCTGACTCATCTCGTTTCGTGATCAGTTTAGTTTGGAGTTGGCAGCCAGAACAATAGTCACAGTCATTAAATACAGTAACTGAAGCTGAAACGAGAAGTCAATGGAAATTATTTGGCAACAGTTTTGAGAGATGATTAAGCTGAATTTGAAGAAAAATGTAAAAGTTACAACTTCTCAAACGTAAATATTCTCTGGGTTTATTCCTTTTCTATAATATTAAATGGAACAGCTTTGGGTTTTTAGGCAGTTCAGATAAAACAATCAATAACATTATGTCAGCTGAGCCTTGGAACAATTGTGATGAATATTTACTCTTTCTGACCTTCTTACAGTCTAAACCAATTACCAAAGAGAATAATTGGCAGATGAATCAATAAAGAAAACAATGAAGGAGACTCGAAGAATGCATACCTCTGCCAAGGCCAGTGTTAAACAACAAAAGAAAAATGATTCCTGTTCCATCTGTCCAACAAGTTTGGTGCAAATTGGTTCAACACTTTTTGCTTAATGCTACTGACAAACAAACAGACATGGGTGAAAACACAACCTCCTTGGCAGAAGTAATAATGCAATGCAGTTTAAGTGTCTAGTCATAGTCTCCTGCTAGTTTTCCTCATAAGTTAATTCTTGATTCTGTAAAATTGTCAGAGCTTTTCATGATGGAGGTGGACTTTGTTTTAGTTGACAAGAATTGACATTAGTATCTGAAAAATTACAAAACTCTACAAAACTTTAATCTGAAGTCAGTGTTTGACTACACCAAGTAGATCATGGACCCTGAAGAGGCATAATGGCAAAGCTGAGTCAATAAGGGATCTTGCTAATGTTTGTTAAATAAAGTGTGTTGTCCTTGAAGATTATGGAGCTGATTGCAGCCACTAACAGGATGCAGCAGTACTTTTGTTTGCTGTAATCGAGGCAAGCACTGTGACGGTACTGTGTCAGGGTTATGACCTAGCCCATGGATGTCAGACTGAAGTGCTAGAGGATTTTGAGAGGTTAAGAGGAGGCAAGCTGTGTTGTCCTAGATTTCTCTGTAGTCTCCTACAGTCGTTGGAGTCTGCAGTGTGTCGGCCTCAGGGCCAGTCTGTGTAGCATCATTACATGAGCATAAGTTTTTGTGTTAGAAATGTGATAAGGATTCTGTATACTTGCGTCATTGCTTCAATTTTTGCATGTGTCACTAACAGCAGTCTACCAAACAGGCGTCTCGAGCTCAAATCCTAGACAAAGCCACAGAGTACATCCAGTACATGAGGCGGAAAAATCACACACACCAGCAGGACATCGACGACCTGAAGAGGCAGAATGCGCTGCTGGAGCAGCAAGGTAACAACACTGCTGGATTTCACACTGATTCACTACCGTTTTCTCTTTAGATTGGGGGAGATTTTGACTGATTATACCTATAATTTGTTTTCAAAACATATTTTCAATGAGACTTTACCCGCAGCAGCTGATATGTGTTGAGTGAAAGAGGGGGAGGGCAAGGAAATGCAAATGCTCCAACATCATGTTTGTTTTGATAGCATGTTGTAGTGATAGAGGAGAACACGCATGAATGGTTTGAGAACATGTTGTCCCAATCTTGCAATCAAACCACAGACAAAATAGACCTTAAGCCCGTCCCTACTGTCAGATAGTCTCTGCCGTACTTCAGTTCTCAGTCAGTTTCTTTTTGTCATTATTACATGTTTCTTGGGTTTTCTGTCAATACTTTTAAGACAATTGAGTATCTACTGCCGCATTGGACAGATCATTTTGACCAAACACAAAAAAAAAATTGAAGAAAAAAAAAAGTTTATTTCATGGCCCACGGTACAATTTAAATATGTTAATTATGAACATTTCTCCCCCTTGATGAAAAGACCCTGGGAACAAATGTCAGGCTTTTAGAAAAAAATAACAAAACCCTCTATGAGAAAATACACTGAGTAAATGATAATAGTGTAACAGAGGCTGGATGGAAAGTGGAGTATGACCTAAGTTATCTATACAGGTCTAGTTACACCAGAATGTGGCACAGCAAAATTCAACTGCACGTCTTAGGTGGTGGTGTTGGTTTTGGCAAGTTTTTGTTTATAGCAAAGTGGGAAAGAGGAAGAAATATCTGATGTTGCTTCCCACTCAGCCAAACAGGGCAAATGGATGGTGAGACACAGATTATGTCGTGGCTTCAACCATTTTGGATTCTGCGGTTATCTGTATTTCTGAAAGCACTATTAAGAGTGTTTATAAATGGTTGACGGCAGAGATTTCCTGGTTAGACTGGGCTCTGTAAGGATAGCTAAGTAGTGTGTCCCCAGCCTGATTTTATTGTATTTTTTTCTCTCTCAATTTGAAATCCTGTTGTTTTTCTTCCTTGCCTCCTTCCTGCTTTCATGTTTCTCATGTGTGCTCACGCAGTCCGTGCTCTGGAGAAGGTGAAGGGCTCCGCTCAGCTCCAGACCAGCTACTCGTCGTCTGACAGCAGCCTCTACACCAACCCCAAAGGCAGCGCAGTGTCTGCGTTTGACGGAGGCTCTGACTCCAGCTCCGAGTCCGAGGCTGATGAGCCGCCCAACAGGAAGAAGCTGCGCGTGGAGGCCAGCTAGAAAGCCGAGCAGCTACAACCTGGCCAAGGTCGAGGTGGCGGAGCACAAGGGAGGGTGAGAGGAAACGCAGCCTTCAAAGCTCTCGAGGCTCATCAAACCCTCCCCCCTCATGCCAACAACCACCACCCCCGGCCTCCCTCACCGACGTCCTCGTTCTCTCTCCTCCATCTCTGGGTGGGCTCGCACTGGAGACTCATGACCCCTCAAACCTCCTCACACCGCCATCACAATTGTCTCTCTTTCCACCCGATCTCCGCGAACAAGAGGGAGGAAGTCAGCAGGGTGGAAGACGACTGCTTCAATACATCTAGAGAGCTTCAGGTTTTTTCCCCTTCCCATCCCTCTCTCCCTTTTCTCTGGTTCTGCGTCATTGGTATTTCCCCCCTAGCAATGTCAACAATCCAAAACCCAAAAAGAGGCAGCTTGGCTACTTAAGGACTTGATGCTTTTTTGTACCCACAATAAAGCCCCTCCTCCTACCCGGGTTGTTTTTGGGGGGTGGGAGGGTGGGAGGGTGCGCCAGGCGTACTCCTTCAAGCACTGCTATATTATATATTTTTGTTTCTTTTGTTTTTTTTTTGTTTTTTTTTTTTTGTTTTAATTTTGTTATTCTTGATAAAAACCTGTTTAGAATTTACACACACACACCTAGATAAATGGTCCTGGAGAAGTTTACCTTTTTAAAAATAAAATGAAAAAAACATTTGTAGCTTACTTTTTCCACTAAAGAATGTGAAGACGCTTTGAAGCAAATGTTAAAGTGATACCCACCTCAGGCCCACTGGATTGCAGATGTTTTCTGCCTGACACATTTGTTAACACAAGATTAAAAAAAGAAAAAAGAAAACATGACTCCTTTGTTGAAATTGATGTTTTGAAGGAGAATATTCCTAAACTTGTATCGTATTTTGTCCTTTAGCTTGAAGTAGTGAATGACTTTAGGTGGCTGAATACGTTAGGCATCTCGTTTTATATATTATAAAAAGCATTGATTGGATGTTTTCAAGTTCAAAAATATGTTATGCATTTTGTAGTAATCTCACAAGTCATGGGAAAATGCCAATTTGTCACTTGTAGTTTTCCTTAAGGGTATGAAAATAGGTATTGAATGTCAAAAGGTAGCTCCCGTCTTTTTGCAGTACAAGGAAGCGAAATAAGTCCCTGTCAATGTGTTGTGCTTTACACAGTAAAAATCATTGTTGCTGAATCCCCCAAGGAAAAAAGGAAGCATTTTTGCGTGTCTAGGAAACGTGTGTGTATGTATATTGTTTCCATTTTATTTCCATTTAGGAGGATATAATTAGTGTAATAGGTCTTTGTTTGTCCGATTCCATTCCATGGAAATTACAAGTATGTTGTACATACTGCCAACAATTGTCTTGCAAGTTGAGGCCTACCTTTACTATGAGACTATAAAATAAACTATTTTATCCTTTAACATGCACTCTGTGTTTTTTTTTTAGCTGTCAGACCAAAGGGTTAAAATCTGCTGCAGTAAATTTAATGATGGGCTTCTCACTTTATAATAATCGTTCCCCTCTTAACTTCCTCAACTGCTGCAGAAAAGGTTTTGAGGACTGGATGTCCTGGTGTGGATTAGTCAAACATGACTTCAGGTTTTTCTGGTTTCCAGTGTTGCTGGCAGGTAGCTGGAATAAGACTGAGGGCATAATGCACTTCTATGTCCCATTATGTAACGATTCTCCCCTTACACTGGAGTTTTTTTTTAACTGTGTGGCCAGGAGGAAAAACTGGGCCATCTGATGTTTTCATCTGTGAGCAACAGCCGGTAGCCAACCTACTTACAGAATGAACATAGTGAAGCTGTCTTTATTTAGGGATTGTGGATTTCTTTTTTTTTTGTACTTCCTTTTGGATGCAAGAAATCCCCCATGCCCCAAGACACCAATATGAAAGTAGTTAAAATGCTTTAACCATTTGGATGGTTCATATTTAATTTACTGAGTTGGCTGTCAAATGATTTAAATGGCTCTTTCAAGGAAACTTCTCTGGAAATCAACAGGTGCTTATAAACTAAACTACAACAGTTTGTTGGTTTTACCTGCTACATCTGCCTGTTTTTTAAGCTCTGTCTGAAATATTTTACCAACATATTTAGAAGTCATAAAGCATCTTATAACACCAATATAAAAAGCGCTCTATAAAGTTTTATTAACGTTGGTCATACTGAAACCATATAACGTTTCACTTTTATTTCAGAGAATGAAAACAATAGGCATTGCAAGCAAAAAAATCAGCTGTATGCAAAGCTGCTCACACACAACTGTTGAGCTTTATTGGGGCAAACTCCTCCTAAACTCCCAGCCCTCATTTCTACTGAAGGTCCACCATCCTGCAGGTTCTCGGGCTCGTCCACATCAGACCTGGCTGCTGTTTTGCGGCTTCGAGTCCGTTCCCCAGAGTTGGCTGGTTCACACGCAGTGACATCTCCGCTGAGGACTAACTAAGACTGGTCAGCTGATCCAGAGGGAGCGGCAGGGTCTGACAGTCGGACGTCAGCGGACACGCCCGGCCTGGTGTCCTCGGGGACAGGCAGCCGGTGAAAGTGCTGCAGGGCCTGAGCCACTTTCTCTGGACAGATGTTGTAAACTGGATGAGTTGGAGCCTACAGGACAGAACAAAAGAAAAAACAATTTGTTACACTTTTTTAAAGCATCTATTTACTCTATTTTTGGCCCAATTTCACATCTACTTTATCTAATCTGGTGTGAGTGTAATTACAGTTTCACTATGTCTTAACAATGACGATACAGTTATTACACCATCCACTATCAAGGGACACTTTTCTTTAAATCCTGAGAATGAAACTGGCCTGTGAAAGGAGAATCAAAAAACAGCATTTTTAACTACTTTCAAATGAATGAAAACAAAAATATCGAATGCTTTTTTATCACCTCTCTGTATACATGGAGGCAGACAACATGGCTACCAACAGAAACAATATGTAAGACATATAAAGTCTAAAACAGAACAACACAACAAAACAAATACTGAACAAAAAAAATAATACAAAAACATAAAAATGTAAATGTAAGACAAATCCTGACAGCCCTGTGATAAATTCTACCTTCGTAAAACCACCTCCTTTTGTTTTGGTAGTTTGTGGGAGCGGATGAGACATTACAATATCATCTAATGCAACACCACCACAAAACACAAGCTCAGAAATGTCCAGAGTTGAATCAACACCTCTCTCCAAGAAAAGAGAGAATATAATAACGCTCAGTATTTGTTGCAGGGCTCATATACTGGATTGTTTAAATTGTACATGTTTTCCTGATTTGTTGTCCACACCCAGAAGATTTATAGGTTTAAAATTTTACCTGGATTCTAGTCTGATGCATGATGTCCAGTTTTAGACGTGTGATGAAAACAAAACCAAGGCTAAGATGAAGCATTAATGTCACTGGTGTGAGCTGGTATGCATGCATGAGGTGGGGGTGGAGTGGGGGGCAGGCTTACTGTAACCGACTGTTAGTGCCAGTAATTACCACAGGAAACAGGAAAATAAAACCAACACCACTGCCGACGCTGTTCACATCTTGAAGTGTAACCACACGTCATTTTTCTTATTGCGATTGCTTTACTTGTCAACCCCTCCCAACCTCAAACATCTGCCAGTGACTCTCATTTTTAGATTTGCCTCAAAATGAACCTGGATCAGGAAGTAATCCCCCCCCCGACCACTAAACTGAACATCTAAGGCGTTTAATGTGCAGACACAAAGTGTCTTGCTCTCTTGATGCAAGTGAATGCAATTAAATCCAAACTGCATTCTGCACGCTGCAAAAATAACAAGCCCATAGTTTAATTCATGGTGGAGAAATGAAAAGTGCATCAAGGGAAAAATGAGCAGCTGATGGGAGTTTTTGAAATGCCTTGAGTTAATTTAATTAACAAAAAAAAAATTTAAAAAAAATTATTTTCCTTTTCATTTTCAAGGACCTGTAGATGCACATCACTGCTGCAGACTCCAGCATTAAACCATCACAGCTGATCACATCACGCTGTTTGGTATTCAGTAAAATTATAACTATAAGGAGTCGGATTAATGCTGATCTTTTTGAGCCGATAATGACGCATAAAACTGGGAATAAAAAAACAAAAACATTCTGATAACACTTTTCCTTGTATATATTTAGAGAACCACTCATGTTTTTGGAATCTGGATATCAAAGAGACGTGGCAAAGATCTGTGCGAAGTGCAGGCTGCTCTGCATTTGAAAAACAAACATTATTTTTAGCAAAAGTTCTCCACTCTGCACGTGACTGACTGTTCAGCTGTGAAGCTTTACTTGCAGCAGAGTTTAATAAACCACATGGAGAGATTGTGGAGCAGCTCAACTAATTTTAATTTTTTTTTTTTTTTTTCTTTAAGAAATTTCCAAATATTTGTGTCCTACAGGCTTGGCGTGAGGTTGATCTGCAGACCGTGGTTTCATATTTAGCAGACAGGCACGACAGTGGTATGAATCTATTACCGAGGGTGAAAGTGAGTAGAGAAGTTGAAACAGACAGTTGGACATCATGGATCAGCAAGTGAAACGTCTAACTTAAAGTAATCGTGGTACACATTCAAACTTGCTGCAAAAAATACAAGAAAAAAAGGGAAAGCCAGTCTAATGGCCACGATTGTAGGATTCATTTACATTGTATGACAAAAATATTGCAACACTGCTCATCATTATATAATTATCAACAATAAATAACATCCAGATTAAAATCAGCTAAAACCAAAAAGGTTAAAAACCACTGTATCATAAACAATTCATCTAAACCAAAGGTTTCTTATTCACTTACATCTGCATATCTGTAATACATTTTTGCATACTGGCCAAAATATATACCAATATTCATGTAATATCATTGAGCCTCCACTGTACTGACTGGACTAGAGGTTATACATCTTCAGCAGTTACCAGGGTCCTGTTTGTTTCTAATAGTAAATTTCTGAATTAATCCACCCTCATTCATGCGTTCCCTCTTCCCCGTCCCTGCTGCAGCCTCACCAATCTGTTCTCCTCCCTGCCGAGGATCATCTCATGGTGGAGGTCCATGTTTCCAAAGTGCTGTGCTATGGAGAGGCCGCTCAGGCAGTAACACGTGTGGTAAAAATCTCTGGATCTGGACACACACAAAGACACAATACAGGACGGTGACGTACAAGTGATATGCCTGAATCACGTTTAACAGTGTAGAGTGTGTGTGTGTGTGTATGTGCTGATGCCAGCCTTTATGTGTCGTAGTTTGTGTGTGTGCCCAGATGGTGTGGTACTGACTTGCCAGGCTTATCCAGAAGGCCCCCTGTTGGGTTCTGACAGCAGAGGAGGATGTACTCCTGCAAGGCCTGCTGCTCAAACATCCACCACTGCCGACTCAGCTCCGACTCTCCTGCACAAACACAATTCAGTCAAACACAAAACTCATGACGTCATACATAGAAACATAACACACTGTGTGTATCCAGTGCTGCTCTGACAGCT